AGAACTCACACATAGGTGAAGAAGAAAACCACTTCCACTAAGTTGCACTGTGGTACTCATAAATGTGTGTGCATGAGGGTATTTACACATGAGTGCAATACTGATTTAAATAAATACTTTTTTCTTGGAATTTAATACATGACTCTCTTTGGTATTATATTTATGTACTTAGATATAATTTTTTTTATTATTTTTATTTTCAAGGCAAGGTTTTTCACTGTGTAGTCCTGGAACTTGCTCGGCAGATCAGACTGGCCTCACTCAAACTCACAGACATCTGCCAGCCTCTGCTTCCCATGTGCTGGGATTAAAGGCGTGCGCCACCACTGCCCAGCAGAAAATGCTTCTTTTGAAATTAGGGTTTTAGTGGGTTTGTTACCTTAGTGCTGTTTTCAGGTTAACTAGTTTGTTAATATATTTCAAGTATAAGTAGACATTTGAAAATATCCTTATTAATTGTAGCCAACTATAGTTACTCGCTTCTTTAATTGGGAAACAGAGGCAGGAAGTTTGCCATGACTTTGGTCATCCTGAGCCAAAACAAATTTTGTTTGTTGAAACCATAACTCAACAAACAAAAAAACAAGTAAACACACACAAAACCCTAAACTAATGAATAAATTTTCATTATAATTATATTTTTAAATGTTTGTTGTAGCTGGGCAGTGATGCCACACGCCTTTAATCCCAGCACTCATGTCAGCCTGGTCTATAGAGTGAGTTCCAGGACAGCCAGGACTACACTGAAGAACAAACAAAACAAAAATAGTCACTGTATCATGCAAAATATGTTAGAATAGGACTTCACATTGTTGTCTCATTCAATGCTAAAGTAGATCTTATAGTAAGTAGTAATACTGTCCCCTTTCAGCAGCTAAAGTCATAAAATTAGTAAATGTATAGGTTTAGATTTAAGCCTTGGTCTGATAAATTCTTCTAAATTTTGATCTTTATTAAAAAGATGGTCTCAGAGTTCAGCTTGAAATCAAAGTGTCCTCTTTTAAAAATATGGGAAAAAAGTAAAAGAAATCTAGAAAAATTGTTAGGGGTCGTCTGTACTCATATCTTTCTTGAGCTATAGAAAGTTGGGTGTTGTGATAGGAAAGGGGTTTGGAGCCCTGTGTCTGGTGGGCTGAGAAGTGAATGAGGCTCACACAGTGTGGTCAGAGCCAGCAATAATCTGCTTATTTTGAAAGAACTTTGATGTGAGGTAGAAAACTTAGTGATGCGTATTAAGAGTTCATTCCAGTTCCAGAATCAGATTCAGTTCTAGAAATTTATTGAGTGGAACTAATTAGAGTTACAAAAATTTGTTAACAGAGATACTCATTGCAGCATTACTTATAGTAGTAAGAACTTAGAAAATGACCAGGCAGTGGTGGAGCATGCCTTTAATCTGAGCACTTGTAAGGCAGAGGTGGGTGGATCTCTGTGTGTTCAAGACCAGCCTGGTCTGCAAAGTGAGTTCCAGGATAGCCAGAGCTACACAGAGAAACCCTGTCTCAAGCAACAACAACAAAAACCCAAACAAACATAAAGAATTTAGAAACCTGTACAAGTGCATTAGAAAAGCATCTGTCAGTCGGGTGGGGGTGGTGCACGCCTTTAAACGCAGCACTCAGAGGCAATCCCTGTGAGTTCGAGGTCAGCCTGATCTACAAAGTGAGTGCTGGGACAGGCTCCAAAGCTATACAGAAAAGCCCTGTCTCAAAAATCCAAAAAAAGAAAAGCATATGTTAAATTGCAGTTGTCCATATAATGGAAAACTCAGTAGCCATTATAATTTATGGTCTTTTAAATTGTTTTTTAAGTCGATTTGTTTTATGAGTAAATATTTTGTCTGCGTGTGTGTGTGTGTGTGTGTGCGCGCGCGCGCCACATGCTTGGTACCTGTGGCGGTCAGAAGAGAATATCAGATCCCTGGTGGAGTCACAGATGGTTGTGAGCCATCACGTGGATGCTGGGAACTAAACCTGGGTCATCTGCAAGAGCAACAAGTGCTCTTAACTGTGAGGCCACCTCTCCAGCCACAATTTGATAGGGGGTAGAAGTATGTGTATATACCTAAGTATACTGCCTATAGAGGACAGAGGTGTTAGATGCCCTGAAACTAAAATATATAGGCAGCTGTGAGCTGCCCAACCTGGATGCTCAAAAGCAAACTCAGGTTCTCTGCAAGAGTAACACATTTTCTTTACCACTGAACTGTCTCTCCAGCCCCCATAATTTATATTCTTAAAACATCTATGGCTATTGGGAATGTAAATTTGTATAGCCATTGTGGAACTTTTTCAAAAAAGAACCCACATATGGGCCAGCTGTACCACTTTGGTTTCTGTCTGAAGAACACTATCTCAGCTCCCACAGGGCTACCTGAATATCCGTTTTTATTACTTCACTGTTCACAGTACTCAGGAAATGGAATCAGCCGTAATGTCCATCAGTAGGACTGCAGCCAGGTGTGGTGGCACACAGAAATAGAGGCAGGAAGGTTAAGAATTGAAGGTCTAAAACAACAAAAACAAACTGAAAGCCCAGAAAAATCAAGTCATGACATGTACAGAAAAATGTCTGAAGTTGGAAGTCATTATGTTAAGCAAAACAAGCCAAACTCAGATCTACACCAGTGTTGTCTTGGTGTGTGGAACCTCACTTTAAATTGTGTATAAGCAGGGAGGGATCTTGTAAGCAGAAAGTCTTGAAGGGAGGGGGAAAGAGAAGGTGAATGGAGTGGATGCGGTGAGAAAGCAGCAGGCGGGGTCTGCTGAGCAAGGCCAGGAGTGTAGGCTGTGGGGCGGGAGGCAGACCTGGGGGGGCGGTGAGTCAGCACCAGACATGACACATACGTGACAGCGCCATAACGGAACCCGTGATTTTATATGCTAACTGAAAAAGTAACTTTGAAAACCTACACATGCGCACACACAAAAACTTGAGGTTTTAAGTATGATAATGCACAGGTGTAATCCCATCCCTTGGGAGGCAGAGGCAGGAGGACATAAGTTCAAGATCAGCTTGGCTCTAAAAAAGTGAGACCCTGGCTCAAAATCATAAGTTAGTGAAGGAATGAGGGAATGCCGGTGAGGTGGTGGAGCAGCAGCCTGCTGACAAGGGGATGGCCCGAGTTTGTGTCCTGGATCCCACACCGTAGAAGAGATACTGTCCTCTCATGAGCACACTCTAAATAAAGAAACAAACTATGGTTTGCTTTCCTCATTGACTCTGTCAATAGTCCGATAGAATTGAGCTATTTGGTCATACTACTTAATATAAGGCGTTCTGGACAGGATGCTTTTAAAGGAATATATTTTCATGTCTAAAGGACAGGAGCTACAGTGATTCTAGAGGCAGTTTTTGTGTTGTCTTTCATTCCTCCTTTCCTTATAAAAAAAAATTATGAGCCGGGTGGTGGTGGCGCACGCCTTTAATTCCAGCACTCGGGAGGTAGAGGCAGGCGGATCTCTGTGAGTTCGAGGCCAGCCTGGTCTACAAGAGCTAGTTCCAGGACAGGCTCCAAAACCACAGAGAAACCCTGTCTCGAACCCCCCCCCCAATAAATAAATAAATAAAAGATAAATATGGAAGTTATTCTAACATGTAAATGATAATTAGCTTAACAAAAATACATGTCAGACTACCAAGAATCATAGCACTGAGTCTTACTTAACTTTTATATATAAAATTTTAAAAGTAAGGCCGGGCGGTGGTGGCGCATGCCTTTAATCCCAGCACTCGGGAGGCAGAGGCAGGCGGATCTCTGGGAGCTTGAGAACAGCCTGGTCTACAAGAGCTAGTTCCAGGACAGGAACCAAAACCACAGAGAAACCCTGCCTCAAAAAACAAAAAAACAAAAACAAAACAAACAAAAAAAAACAATAAAAATAAAATAGTGGCTCGGAGGGTGGGTGGTTCAGTGGGAAAGATTACTTGCTTCTCATGCATGGGGATCTGAGCTCAGATCCCAAGCTCCCATGTAAAAAGCCAAGTATGGCAGCGTGTGTGCCTATAACCCAAGCACTAGTGGGTGGCAGACAGCGACAGGAGGATCACTAGGGCCTGCTAGCCATCAACTAGCTCTGTGTTTAATGAGAGACCCTGTCTCAAAGAGAAAGGCAGAGAGATAGGACACCCTGAGAGATGTAATTCTTCTGCAACCCAGAAGTTTGGATGATAGAATTTTATGTAACTTTTTTTACAAGTTCCATTTCAAGATGTTTTTGTTTTTGTTTTTTGAGATAATGTGTTGCCATGAAGAATAGGCTGGCCTTGAACTCACAATCCACCTGTATCAACCTGCTGAGCACTAAAATTATAGGCATGTACCATATATATGTTGCACCAAAAATAACCAGCTAAGTTATATTTTTCGGGTTTTTTTTTTTTTTTTGAGATGGTCTCATATAGCTGAGGATAGCCTTATAGTTGCTATATAGCAAGGAATGACTTTGATCCTCCTGCCTTTGCTTCTTGTGTGCTGGGGTTATGGACATGCACCATCATGCCCACTTTATGTGGTGGAATTGAAACTAAAGCTTTTACATATACTAAACAAGACCACCTCTGGGGCCAATGTAATATTGTTAATCTCTTCTTAAAAGCAGGCATGTCTTCCTAATCTGGAAAACAAAGTTTACAGAACAATCAGTTTAAGAAAATGAATTTCTCCTCATACACTGACACCCGTCTTCTGCTCAATTGCTCTAGCTTTTGAGATACTACTGTTGGGGTTTTAGCAAAGGTTTTGTTCCCGTGACCCCATCCTCTAATTCTTTGAGAATATATTTGCTTGTGGTATAAGTGGGAGAATCAGTAATTTCCTCCTACAGGCAAGATTGTTTAAGATTTTGACTTTAGACACCAAGAAAAAGAAAAAAAGTAAAAATTAAAAAAATTAAAAAAAAAAAGATTTTGACTTTAAACCTATCAGCTGGTATTTAAAGCATAGCCATGCTCTTCGGCCCCGTGTTTTGTTTGTAATTGGTCCACTTTATCTGATTCAGGTGCACTGTGGCCAGGTATGAAACCTGAAAGTGGTTTAATTCAGACACCATCTCCAAGTCAACACAGTGTTCTTACCTGCACTACAGGGTTAACCACAAGCCAGCCAAGCCCAGCTCACTATTCTTTTCCCATTCAAGGTAAACAGGCATGGTTGTGTGTGTGTTATTTCATTTTTATCATTGTTTTTTATTTTTAATATGCCTGTATATCCAAACAAACTGGATGATACAGGAGCACTGTCTTCTAAAGTAAAGGAACGGCATGCGTTCGTGCATGCTTTTTGTGTTAGGCAAGCCTGAGCCAGAGTGTGGTTTATCAGTAGCTTAGACTTTGAATGTGAGCTGCTTAATAGAAGTGAAGCCTTCTCTTTTGCATGCTGGTATCCAGAAAGCTCCTCTTGACTTTGTTCTAGTCTGGTCTCAGTGGCATCTTCACATGTAAGTTGGCGACTCCTTGAGTCGGGATTTGGCTGACTTCTATGTGACTTGTCAGTGGAATGTGCCATGTGGACTGCTTTTCTGCTGGTAGCTTTGTGACACCCACCCCCTACTCCTTCTTGCAAAAAGATGATTAGCAGGCTGAGGGTGCAAGTTGTGGTGGAGTGCTTGCCTGGCATGTGTGAGGCACTGAAGAAAAAAGAAAAGTTGATTTTCATTTTTAATCAGGGTGAAACTTAAATCTTAAGCAACTTTACTTTCCTGGGTTCTTTGAATTTTATAATCAAGATAAGTAGGCAAAAGGGCAGTGTGATGTCTAATTGCCTATTCTCCCGAATCCGTTGATCTAGAGTGGAAAGCGTTGTTCATGTATCTGACTTCTCATCTGTCTCCATGCTTTTATTATTGTTGTTTGCTTTTTTATAGCTTTTTACATTTCATTCTTTATAAAATAGACTCTATGCTGGGTGGTGGTGGCGCACTCCTTTAATCTCAGCATTTGGGAGGCAGAGGCAGGTGGCTCTCTGAGTTCGAGGCCAGCCTGGTCTACAGAATGAGTTCCAGGACGGGCTCCAAAAAGCTACAGAAAAACTCTGTCTCAAGAAACAAAACAAAAAGAAAAAAGAATAAAAAATAGACTCTCCAGGGATGAGTGCAGACACCAAAAAGCTGTAGATAGGAACCTTGCTGATGGGAAAGACTTGTAATTTTAACTGTTTTCTGTTCATTGATTTTGGTATTGTTTGATTCTATAGGAAGATCTCTAGGCCACTTTATTCTTTGTTCTGGGTTGTTGTTTTTTGAAGATTTAATTTTTGTGTGTATTTATGCATGTGTATGAAGGTGCCCATGTGGAGCTTACAGAGACCAGAAGATAACCTGGAGCTGGAGTTATATGCGGTTGTGAGCTGCCCATCATGGGTGCTAGGAGCAGAACTCAGTTGCAGTGGACAAGCAGTGAGTGCTCCTGACCACTGAGCCATCACTTCTGCCCCTATTTTGTTCTGAAGACCTAGGTCTAAGTTACCTTTGCCTCCAGTTTTCAAGAATCCCCACTCTTACATTTCATCCTTTCTTTGTCCCCGCCTCCCTGTTTTCTTTCTTTCTAACAGGAGCCAACCAAGAGGAGCAAAGCTTAAGGACATGACCGGGCTCGCCTTGAACCAGGGCGTAGTAAAAGAGCCTCCTAGGCCAGCCTTTTGCAGCCATCTGGGAGCAGCATACACCACCATTTCTGACTTTGATTTTCTCTTTACTGTTTTCTAAGTTAATAGGCTTTTGGAATCAACAGTGAGATAATCAGGTCCCTCTTAGGGTATACATAGGTCATGAAGGAAGAGAAGGAGGAATAAGGGTTCTCTTCCTGCTGGGGTACAAATCTCCACTCTTCTGTAGTTGTGTCTTGAATTTAACACTCACTTTTCTTCCCTGGAAAATAAGTGGCATCAACTAGGGAGTGAAGCTGGAAGTCATTACTGTCACAGGTCATGAAAGTATCTGTTGAATTTCATTAACTGCTGTTCTAACCTGTCATGTGCCTTTGACTCTGCTAACTGGTTTCCTTCAGTTTTCTGTTAGTAGTAACTGCTAGTGTTTAGTAGGCTAGGTGTTACTCATGTCATCTTCACAACCCTGTAAGTGCTAGTAACCCCGCTTTTCAGATAGGAAACCTGAAGCACAGAGAATCTAAGTAACTATTTGTAATCACCAAGTAACTAATTAAGTCAGAATAGAGGTAGAATGTTTTACTTCTAAAGTGTGAGTGTAATATGTCATTCAGGGTTGAAATCATGTTGTCAGTATCAACTCTCCCATATTTGAGGAACTGCATTAACAAATATCTAAAACTTTATTTTTCCTCCATTTATTATTTGTTAACACACTGACATAAAGTAGAAATTTTAAGGCATCAAGTTTTTCATTTTTACTATTTAATCTGAAGAAAGAGTTTTAGGAAAACATTTGGCTAAAATGATGTATAGGCATTATCTGTGGGTGGAAGTGTGGCGTCTTCATAATTAGCACCTCTCCCCTGCTTTCTCTTTCCTCAGTACACACACATCTGATGTCTTTAGACTCTCATTTTGTTGATAATACCCATTAGTCTTTGACCAGGAGTTTTCCTTTCTTTAGCAGACTTTTTTTTAAAAAAAGATTTATTTGTTTACATACATGAATGTTTTGTCTACATGTCTGTGTATGTATCAGTGCATACCTAATGCCAGCAAAGGTCAGAAGAGGGTATTGGGTCCCCTCGAACTGGTGGTACTGATGGTTGTGAGTCATGATGTGGGTGTTGGGAATAGACCCCTGATCCTCTGCAAGAATAGCAAGTGCTTGGGGCTGGAGAGATGGCTCAGCGGTTAAGAGCATTACCTGCTCTTCCAAAGGTCCTGAGTTTGATTCACCACTTGGTGGCTCACAACCATCTGGAATGCGGTCTGGTGCCCTCTTCTGGCCTGCAGGCATACATGCAGACAGAATATTGTATACATGTCTCCTTTGTTCCTGTAGACTTTATGATCTCTCAGGCTTCTCTGGGTTTTGATGACCCAGGTGGCTGTGGGGATACCCCTCTATTAGAAGTTATTTGCGTTTTAGTAAAAGCTTAACTGGAGTTACTGGTTTTTCAAAGGGTCACAGGTAAAATGTCACATGTCACATGTGCATTCTGTCCATATTCTTTATTATCCTCATCACCTGGCTGAAGGAATGTCCCAGTATAAAGTTACCTTTTAAATTGTTTTTGCTGAATGTGTGTGTGTGTCTGTCTTTGAGACAGGGTCTTTCCATATAGCCCTGGCTGACCTTGAATTCCTGACTCTCAAGATTATAGGTATGAACCACTCTACCTGGACTAGAAGTTCTATCCACGCTTAAAGGTTTACTGCCCCTCCTTTATGGCCATTCATTTTTTTCCCCATCACCTTTTATTTACTGATCATTTGTTTCTGGTCTCATGCATTTCTTTTATATTTTGAGTTTTAATTCAGTCTTATTTGTTATCCCATGTCGTCATGGGGAACACATCTAATTGACTCTGACACCTTTATCTGCCTGAATCCTGATGAGCCATTTCTCCAAAGAGGCTTAGTTCCTCTTATGGAAAGAATGGTATTAGAAACCAAGATCTGGGGTTATCAAGGTGATCAGCTGGTAAAGAGGCTTGATTCCCCTAGGATACACGTGGTGGAAGAAGAGAGCTGAGTTGTCCTCTGACCCTCATATGAACACATACATAAATGAATGAATGTAATTTGTTAATATAATTTAAAAAAACAAAAGTATGTGTATGGAAACATTCAAATGTGTAATTTGTTTTTTGAGACAGGGTTTCTCTTGTAGACATGGCTATCCCGGATCTCGCTCTGTAGACCAAGCTGCAGATCCACCTGCCTCTACCTCCCAAGTGCTGGGTGTATGCACCACCACTGCCCAAATATAGATGTAATTTTTAAAGAAAGAAGTGGAGCTCTCAGCATGGCTCAGTGGGTAAAATCATGTGTTGTGGAAGCCATACAACCTGAGTTCAATCCCCAGAACCCACAGTGGAAGGAAAGAGCCAGCTCCCTCCCATAAGTCTTCCTCTTACACACCTCCATATTCGCATCATGACACACATGCACAAACACACACATGAGCCTGTGGGTCCATTCTTATTCAGACTACTACACATTACAATGCAATAAATTATTTATAATAATAAATAAATAATAATAAAACATTTTTTTAAAGAAACCAAGATGTTGACACATTGCTACTATAGTGTCAGGTAATAACTTTTTAGGTATTCTGTTAACAGAGCAAGAAATATGTGTGTGTTCTGACCTGTGGAAGTACACATATGTAAGTCTTTGAAAGTTAAACATGAGTCCTTACTGGTTTCTCTACCTCTAATCTGTTATGACATAGATCATTTCTGACTATTCATCGTTGATATATATCTGTACTTCGACATTTACTGTGTGTGTCTGTGCATGCAAGCAGGAATGAGCATGCGCCCCAGTGTATATTTGGGTATCAGTCTCTCCTTCACTGTGGAGGTTCTGGGTCTGAAATCAGGTCCTTAGGATTGGTAGCAGACCATCTCATCAGTCCTAGTTTAGCAGATGGTACTTTGATTTAATAACTAAGCTTCTTGAGTGCAGGTTTCTTTTCTCTCTTTTTTTTTTAATACCTTGTTACAGTCCAAGCACATGAAATAGCTCTTACATTTAGAAAATAGTAAGTGTTTGACGAATGAATGAATGACCCACTTAGGCAGTCAGTTTTAACCAAATATGCAGTTTCTGCTAGCTCCCGAAGGCTAGAAATTGGTTTGAGTTTTTATTAGGTATTTTTTTAGGTGCTTAGAGTTTATGACTCCCTCAAGAGTGTGTCACTAGACTGTCAGCCTCTAACGGATAAAAAGATTTTGTCTTTCATGCCTAATGCGAGCAAAATTGAATCTCACAGTTAATGGGTATCATCCTTTTTTTATTTGGTTTTTTTTTTTTGTTTCTTTGTTTCTTTGTTTTTCGTGACAGGATTTCTCTGTGTAGCCCAGGCTGGCCTCCGACTCAGAGATCCACCTGCCTCTGTCTCCTGAGTGCTGGGATTAAAGGCGTGCGCCACCACCGCCCGGCCTAGAACTTGGTTCTTAGATGCTTTGTCTTTGAATAATTATCAACAGCATTGTCGAAATAGGTGAGGACCTAATGAAAGCAGCAGGCCATTGTAGGGATCAGACAGCTTTCCCATGCATAAAAACAGGAGCTGATATTTGAGTTTTATTTGGTTTGCTAAGTTTGTACTTTGTTTCATATTTCATTGTTGTTCTTTATTACTTTTATATTGTTTATTGAGACCGTGTGTGTGTGTGTGTGTGTGTGTGTGTGTGTGTAGGATGTTTAGTACTCTTTTTTTTATTCCTAACTTTTAGTCATAGTTATATATAGGGCAAAGCATGTAGTGATTATGTACATTTTTAGGTAAATTAACTTGGGTTCAGTGATAGTTATAAGAACCTAAAATGTGCTGCTTATATTTTTAGATTGATGTGTATTAAATTTCTTTTATTGTTGCTTTTGGGGGCTTGGCTGTAGTAATAGGAGCGGCGGGGCTGCGTCCCCAGCACCCCACGTCCCCAGCACCCCGGCCGCCTGCTAGCTTATGCCCCGAAATAACAACACACAAATTGTATTCATTTAAACACTGCTTGGCCCTTTAGCTCTAGCCCTTACTGGCTAATTCTGATATCCCGATCAACCCATCTCTAATAATCTGTGAGCACCGGTCTTACTGGGAAGATTCTAGCCTACGTCCATCCTGGGTCGGAGCTTCATCGCGTGTGTCTGCCTGGGAGAGGGGAGCATGGCATCTCTGCTCTAGAGAGCAGAGCTGTCGAGTCTGAGCTCACTTCCTCTTCCAGCATTCTGTTCTGCTTACTCCACCCACCTATGTTCTAACCTATGAGGGCCAGCCAAGCAGTTTCTTTATTTTTTTAACCAATGACCTTCCTCCATCCCTTGGCTCTCATGTGTCCCACACTGGTGAATATGAATTGAATTCACTGTGGATATGAGGCCGGCCTTGAATTGATCCTCCTTCCTCCACTTCCCAAATGTCACGTGTTTGATTGATTAATTTATTTCTGAAACTACTTTGCCAGAATACGTTTCTCCCATGTGTATAATGGCCAGGTATAATTGAGTCTGGTCTCCAAGTGTTAGTGAAGCTGGGCAGGGGGAAAAAGAAGAATGGGCCACATCCTGAGGAAAGGGAAGTGCCTGCTGGGAGAGGTAAGGAAGCACTCTTCTCTCCTACTGGAAGTCACTTTTGTTAGGCCTGCCTAGGATAATATGTTATACCAGGCTTTTTCTTTTTGGGCCACTAACCAGCTCCCAAATCATGACATTGAGATTTAGTAGTTATGAATGCTTAGCCTGACTTGGGCTTGTTTTCTGGCTAGCTTTAATTTCTTAACTTAACCAGTTTCTCTTTATCTACCTTTTGCTTGGGACTTTTTACCTTTCTTTCCTTCTGTACATCTTACGTTCACTGCTTTTCCTGTTTGTCTGGCAGATGTCTGGCTTCTGGCCCCAGGCATGTCCCTCTCTTCCTTGTTCTTCTCTCTAGATTTCTCCTCTAGATTCCTCTTCTTATTTATTCTCTCTGCCTGCCAACCCTGCCTATCCCTCTCTCTGCCTAGCTCTTGGCTTTTCAGCTATTTATTAGACCAATCAGATGCTTTAGACAGGCAAAGAGAAACAAATGTAACACACCTTTACTCAGTTAAAGTAATATTCTGCAGCATAAACGAATGTAATGCTTATTTACATAGTTAATGTTCCACAACAATATGTTGCTTACAGAACCTGGAAACTTTCAGAATGTCTTTTCCCACAAAATGATTAAAATTGCTTAGGAGTCATCTATCCTGTATACTGTTGTTTGATGCTGCCTCTTAGGAAAATGGATTAAGCCATAACAGAGAAGAAAGTGACTGTTGATGAGAAACAAATACCATGTATGTTATTAAATCCTTTCATTTAGTTGTGTTTAGGGAAGGGGTCCTTTAAAAGCCCTTTAGCTGTCCTGGGGCAGAGTACTGCAGACTGTCAGTGACTCTGAGCAGTGAGCACCAGCTGAGGCACGGAAAGTCCAGGGGACTACCAGCCACTGGGTTTGTCAGCACTCTAGGCCCATATTTCTACATGGTATGGCAGCCAGGCTCTCAAGCCATAGTTGCACCTGAGGTGGTCACATAGCCTTCCAGACAGGCTGTTGCTACCCTAACAAAGGGTCGGGATATTGTTCTGCTTCTTTGTAATTTGGAGGACGCCTGGGATAGAGATGATAATTCAGGCCTACATGACAGAGCAGGCACACAGAGCAGGAAGATAGGGAGAAGTGACAAAATGGGCATAGAAAGGTGTGGTCAAAGGTGTGGACATGACTAAAGCCATTCACCTGGTTACCTAGGAAACAGAATGCTAATGAATATACATTTTGGTATAAAGGCTGTAAAATAAATGAGAGGACTTTTCAAGATGTAAACTCAGGATTTTATGAGGATCACTAAAAAATCTCCCTCCTGATAAAGCCATATGAGTTATGTCTTTATTCCCATGCCTCCACACGCCGCTCCAGTAAGCTAGTTTATGATGGGGCTGGCATCGGACCCCGACACAGCACCTCTGAACACATTGTCTAAACTCTTCTCTGACCAAGCTCTTCAGCTAGCTGAGCTTTCAGCAGGAGCCGTGACTGTTCTTGTCTAGACAGAGCTTTCAGCACATTGTCCTTCAGGAGAGGAACCTGGTTTAGTCTGGCCTGCGTTTTTCCTGCTGTGTTTTCTCCCATTCTGTCCCTAGTGGAGGTTTTCGTACTGGATTCACCAGAGGACTTTGCCACTGATCAGTTTGGTTCTGGTGGTGAGCACTTTGGGTGTGGATGACTGCAGTAGGAACCATGTCTCTGCTTATGATGGGAAGAGTTCAGAACTGGTGCTTCATAATACTGACTACCCTGTCTACCTGGCTACTCTGTGGTATCTGCCAGCCACTGAAGTCTAGGTTAGAACCTGATGGGTGCCAGGCAGTAGTGGTGCACGTTTTTAATCCCAGCACTCAGGAGGCAGAGGCAGGTGGATCTCTATGAGTTTATGACTTCAAGGCCAGCCTGGTCTACAGAGCGAGTTCCAGGATAGGCTCCAAAGCTACACAGAGAAACCCTGTCTCAAAAAAACAAAACAAAACCCACAAAATAAACCTTAAGTCACATTCCTTAAGACAGATATTCCAGGTAACTCTGATAGGATACATTTTTTTTTTTTTTCGTTTTTCGAGACAGGGTTTCTCTGTGGTTTTGGAGCCTGTCCTGGCACTAGCTCTTGTAGACCAGGCTGGTCTCGAACTCACAGAGATCCGCCTGCCTTTGCCTCCCGAGTGCTGGGATTAAAGGCGTGCGCCACCACCGCCCGGCTGATAGGATACATTTTTATCTGACAAGATGAGATTTAATTTTAATATTTTTGAGTTCAGGTTTATTGATAAAGTTTCTAAATAGCAAATCATAGTGGTATTTAAAATTTCTTTTTTTCGGTTTGGTTTTTTTTTTTTTTGTTTTTTTTTTTTGTTTTTTTTTTTTTTAGACAGGGTTTCTCTGTGTAGCTGTAGAGCCTATTCTAGAACTAACTAGCTCTTGTAGACCAGACTGGCCTCAAACTCACAGAGATCCGTCTGCCTCCCGAGTGCTGGGGTTAAAGGCGTGTGCCACCTCTGCCTGGCTTAAAATTTTTTGGTGTGTGTATATGTGTATGTATACATGCATGTATGTGTGTATATGTGTATGTATACATGCATGTATGTGTGTATATATGTATGTATACATGTATGTATGTGTGTGCATGTATGTGTGTGTACATGTATGTATGTGTGTGTGTGTATACATGTATGTGTGTGTGTGTGTGCATGTATGAATGCCCCAGTGCACATGTGAGGGTCGGAGGACAACTTGTGGAAAGCAGATCTCTTCTTCTACCATGTGGGTCCCAGGAATCTAACTCAGGTTATCGGTCTTGGCAGCAGGCAGCATTACCTGCTAAGCCATCTTGCTAGGTTTTTTGATTGACATTAGTAACCCATTATTTGCATATAACAGTTCTTAGCATTTTAGAATTTGGAGAACTATTTCTTAGAGTAAATATGTCACATATTTACGTAGACATAATTTGGGGAAAATGGCATAAACAATACCACAGCGTAGGATTTACCAGAGTTCTACTGACTGTCAGGTTACTTGCAGGGAATCATTCTTCAGTTTCTAGAAAAGACTGGGGTGATTTGGCTTAGTTCTGACTTCACTGGTGTGTCAATGGGAGCTGTGATTTGTGTATACATCATTCTAGGACTTTTTCGTAGAAAGAATGGAGGACAAGTTGAAGCAAACATTCCAAGTGTTTTGATTCTAGACATGTCTGAGATATAGCATGCAAAAACAAAACAAGTGTTTGATTTTTAAAAATTGTTGAATTGTATGTGTATGATTTTATTATTATTATTATTGTCTGTGTGGCGTATGTGTTCCTGGTGCCACAGAGGCTAGAAGGAAGGCTTGTAGTTGCATATGGGTGTGAGCCATCATATAGGTGCTGGGGCTTGAACCCAGGTCTTTTGGAAGAGCAGCCATACTCTTTTTTTGTTTGTTTGTTTTTCGAGACAGGGTTTCTCTGTAGCTTTGGAGCCTGTCCTGGAACTAGCTCTTGTAGACCAGGCTGGCCTCGAACTCACAGAGATCCACCTGCCTCTGCCTCCCAAGTGCTAGAATTTAAGGTGTGCGCCACCACTGCCCAGTGTGCAGCCATACTCTTAAGCACTGAGCCTTCTCTCCAGCTTCCAGCATTTGCCTATTTAGCCAATATTCTTTGTCTTCTCGCAGATACATTCGTTTAAAACTGATTATTTTCCCTATCTTTAGGCCATTTACATGTGATCTTTAATATCTCTGAATACTCTCAATCTTGTAGCTTCGAGCACAAATGCCAGCCTGATATCCACATCATCTGCAATTGCCAATGTTCCAGCAGCAGCCGTGGCCAGCATCTCAAACCAGGTACCGTGCCCCATTTGTTCATCTTTCTTGTTGTGATTCACTGTCTTTCACTTGCTCTCTTCTTTCCATGGTTAACTTGCCCATCTAAGAAACAACCAGGAATATAGTGTACTCTGTTGAGTCCTGTTTCTAGATGGAACTCTCTGGCTACTGTCTTGTTTCTCTTTTTTCTTGATAATCCTCCCAGGAATATGGTTCTGTCTACAGCATTACCTACTACTGTGCTTACCCCAAGCCTCAACCCTGCCCCCACTAGAATGTGCCCGCCATGAAGGCAGGGATTTTTCTATTTTTGTTCACTTTATCTTCCCACAGCCTAGACAAACCCCAGGCACTCACTTAAAAGACACTCATAAGCATTGTGGGTGAATAAATACTATCTCTACCCATTTCTTGACTATTTGTAATTTGGTCTTTTTTGGTTTTGGGGGGGTTTTGGTTTTTCAAGACAGGGTTTCTCTGTGTAGCCCTGGCTGTCCTAGAATCCACTTTGTAGACCAGGCTGGCCTCGAACTCAAAAAGATTCACCTACCTCTGCCTCCTGAGTGCTGAGATTAAAGGTGTGTACCACCATGCCCAGCTGTGATTTGGTCTTGATCACTGTTATATTGTGTATGTGTTGAGTTTGTTTTGTTTTTAACATGTGCAAACTTTCTCTGTAGCAACTGCTATGACCACTGATGTCTCTACCAACTTTTCTGGCTGCAGTTTACCTACTCTGTATCTCACTGTCCCAGTCCTGCTGCATTTGTACTTCTGAAGTACACAGTTACCTTGGGTTGAGAGGGTGCTGTTTTGTTCTGGATGGATGGGTTGCTTTTTGAAGTAAGGCCTCACTGTGTACGCTTGGCTGTCCTGGGATACTTCATAGTCCAGGCTGGCCTCAAACTTGCATCGATCCTCCTGCCTGTCTCCTGAGCTGAGTTCACGTGCCACCACAGTGGTACAGTGTTTCTATTGAATTCCTACCTGTCCATCTGTCCTCCCTATGCAGATGAGCAGCCCTGTACAGGTTCGCTCCTTCCTTCCTTCCTTCCTTCCTTCCTTCCTTCCTTCCTTTTTTTAAATATTTATTTATTATGCATACAATATTCTGTCTGTGTGTATGTCTGCAGGCCAGAAGAGGGCACCAGACCTCATTACAGATGGTTGTGAGCCACCATGTGGTTGCCGGGAATTGAACTCAGGACCTCTGGAAGAGCAGACACTGCTCTTAACCACTGAGCCATCTCTCTAGCCCCCTGTTTGTTTGTTTTTTGAGACAGGGTTTCTCTGTGGCTTTGGAGCCTGTCCAGGAACTAGCTCTTGTAGACCAGGCTGGCCTTGAACTCCCAGAGATCCGCCTGCCTCTGCCTGGCTGCAGGCTCTTTCACAGCTTTTCTCTTTGGTCTTCTAAGGCCAGTGTCTTTAGTTTTTCACATCGTAACTTACTCCTAAAGAGTGTTTAACCAAACTTACATTGTCAGCTTAGATGTGTATCTGTACTCAGGTTTCTTATTTTGAAAATCATTGATTTCTTGGGACTGCTAGGTAGGTAGATAAATAAGATAATATATTAGGAAAATAATTATGACTAATAGGGAAGAGAAAGCCTCTTTTGTTATGTAATAATCTTACTTTCCTCCCTTTGGTCCACAGGACTATCCCACCTATACTATTCTTGGACAGAATCAGTACCAGTCCTGCTACCCCAGCTCCAGTTTTGGAGTCACAGGTCAGACTAACAGTGATGCTGAGAATACTGCATTAGCAGCTACCACGTACCAGATTGAGAAGCCTAGTGCTATGGTGCCTGCTCCAGCCACACAGAGACTTCCCTCTGGTGAGTACAGAAAGCTAAATTAAGGACACTTTACCCAGCAGGTATTTCCCAGTGATGGTAAAAAATGATTTTGTTCTGGGATAAGTTGGTTTCACCATGCCATTGGTTTCCCTTTGCAAGTTTAAACATAGCAAAGAGACTGTAATGAGAAACTGGCAGAATGTCTGTAGTTTCTGAGAACAGAAAAGTGCCAGTAGTACGAATTAGTGTTTCTAGTGCATACTCTGCCCTCCCGTAAGTGTAATACACTCCATGGGGATCTGTAGACTAAGTGTATTTGTGGACACTTGCAGGGCTCCAGCTTTAATCCAGCCATGTCTTAGACTCCTGCTAGGAATTCAGAACAGGAGAACAGCCACAGTCCTTTCCCAACAGTTGTAACATTTGACTCACAAAGCCAGACACTGCTGTGCATGGCTCTGGGAGGTGTGGCTCTGCCTGCAACGTCACCAGCAGCTTGTGAGTCACTATCTCCTTTTCCTTTCAACAGACTCGTCTGCAAGCCCATCTCTGTCACAGACTACACCAAATAAAGATGCCGATGATCAGTCCAGGAAAAATATGACTGTCAAGAACCGGGGCAAGAGGAAAGCTGATGCCGGTTCCTCCCAGGACAACGAATTAGAAGTATGTGAAGAAATTCACTGGAGTTACCTATTCTGTTCTCCTCACTTTCTGTCAAATACAAGTCTGGAATTTGCAGAGATAATGTTATTGTATGCTGTGTCCACTTGAACTCCTGGTGGGGGTTGGGGGAGCAGTGAATTGGCCAAGAGGGGGAAAAAGTAAAAGAAAATTCCTCCATGTGCAGCACGACTTACTTATCCCTTCCTGCTGTTCCACCAAAGCACTGAAAAGCCTTTTCTGATTCAGGGTAGCTCTAACCAAAAGAGCAAATTGTTCCCCACATTCGGAGGACTGGAAGGAAGGATAATACTGCATCTTAGGAGAAAACAAGGGGAGCTATGAATGATGTCATACTGTTTCCATTTGGAAATAAAAAAAAAAGTGGGAAGATAGAATGAGTGAGTACCTGTGAGACACACAGATCTGGTGATGGCTTCGTGAGAATGCCAGGGACCATGCCGTGCTGAGAGCACTGTGGGGACTTACTGTGGGCATAGATTGCAACTATGGTTGGAAAAATAGAAAAACATATAAAATTCCAATGTTAAAATTTTTACATTACCTTTTTTGTAGTTTTAATTTTTCTTTGATGTGGTTATTTAAAGCAAAGAGATAAATTTAAATGTGCTCTTTGGTGCAGGTACATTGAAGGTGTATCTGTCTTTCTCTTCATTTTTGGAGAGCAAACACAGCAAGAAATAGGGAAACTAAAGTTCTGATATCATTCTTAAGAAAAATTAGTAACTCCCCTTTTTAAAACTTGTACCAGAGAGTACATTATGCAAAACTTTACCATTTTTGCTGGACATAGTACACACCTGTAATTTCATGACTTAAGAAGGCAGGATCAGGAGATCAAGGTCATCTTTGGCTGCAGGTGTGACTCCACCTAAAGAAAGTTTTTTAAAGGACTTATTGTTTTGTTATGATGTGAAAATTTTTTTTCTTTTCTTTTTTTTTTAAAGATTTATTTATTTATTATGTATAGAACATTCCTGCAATATATGTTTGTATGCCAGAAGAGGGCACCAGATCTCATTATAGATGATTGTGAGCCACCATGTGGTTGCTGGGAATTGAACTCAGGACCTCTGGAAGAGCAATCAGTGCTCTTAACCTCTGAGCCATCTCTCCAGCCCCTATGATGTGAAAATTTTATGTGTATGAATGTTTTCTTATGTGTGAGTGTTTTGCCTGCATGTAAGTCTGTATACCACGAACATGCCTGGTACCTACAAACAACAGAAGAGGTTGTCTGATGCCCTGAGACTGGAGTTAGAGACAGTTGTCGCACACATGGGTGCTAGGAGTCAAACCTCTACATGAGCAGCCAATGCTCTTAACTACTAAGCCATGTCTTCAGCCCAGCTTTACCATTTTAGGAGCATAATTCAGTGTTATTAAATATATTAGCCACCATTTCTGGAACATTTCCTGTTTTTGTGTTTGCTTTTCTTTGAGATAGTCTTGTTCTTCTTTGAACTCCTGAGCAACCCTGCCTCACCCTCCTAAAGTGTTGAGATGACAGGCGTGAGCCACTCTGCTCTGGGTTCAGAACCTTTCTTAATCCTAAACAGACTCGGCACCTCTTTATTGTGCAACTCACCATACTCTTTCCTGGCCCATGGCAACAACTCTTCTCTCTACTACTGTGAGTTTGCCTGGTCTAGATGTATCTAAATGTGAACATACAGTGTCTGTTCTTCTGCCAGGCTCATTCATTAGTGCAGTGCTTTGGGGATTTATCTGTGCTGCAACAGGGATCATAATTTCTTTTCTTTCAGTGGCTGAATGATACTCCATTTTTGTATGCACATGCGTACTGTATCTTATCTTGTGTCTGTTGAAGGACTCTTTCATTTTTTAGGTCAATGTGAATAATGAGGCTTTGAGTACTTTGTACTACACTTCTTCAGTTTCTTATCCAGCAGTGGAATTTCTGGATCTTATTCTGTGTTCAAACTCTTAGGAGACACCAGACTTTTACACATTACATTCCCACCATTAGCTACATTCTCCTTAGGGCTTGCTATTTCTCTCCTCCCCTTTTAAATTGTGTTTTAGGTGGTGGTGAGATAAGGACTCTCCTCATAGCTCTGGCTGACCTGGAACTTAGTATGAAAACTAAGCAAGCCTAATTCACAGTAATACAGTGGCCTCTCCCCTTTTTAAAATGAAAGCTACTTTATTGGGTGTCAAGTGATGTCTCATTGTAGGTCTCCTTTGCATTTCCCTAATGACCAATGGTATTGAACCTCTTTCCATGACCTTGAGTCCCAGAGCTTTGTGGTGTTTTGAAATTAAAATTCAGGACTCCTCCATCTTAGTCCTTTCTCAGGGTGGTAAGCCTGTTTGGAGATCCCATCAGATTGCATGTGAATTTTTGAACAGTTTTTCTTTTTTTTAAGCTCAGTTTATTTTAAATTGTTAGTAATTAAGTTCAATAACATGTAAACACTGTTTTAACCCGAGTTTAACTTTCACACTCTGGAGGGGCTGGAGAGGTGGGTTAGGAGTCAAGGGTATTTGTTGCTCTTACAGAGAACCAAAGTTTGGTTCCCAGCACTCACTCCCAGCACCTCCAAGAACACCAGACATACATATGGTGCTCAGATGTAAAAGGGCAAAACAGCCATACACATAAAATGAAAAGAAACCTAAAGAGAGAATTTTAAATAAAGAAAAAGAAAATACTGGAGATTTGAATGTGATTCAGGCTGTAGACTGGCATGGCTGTTGCCACTTTAGCAATGTTGTCTTCTACTCCGGGAATATTTATAGTTTTCCATTCTCAGCAGTATTTTAGAAATCTCAGTGTATTGTGCAAATCTGTTTTATTAGTTAAATTATTCCTGAGTGGTTTTTTTTTTAATTTTTTTTTCCAATTTTTATCTTATGTGCATTGGTGTTTTGCCTGCCTGTATCTGTGTGAGGAAATCAGATCCCCTGGAACTGGACTTACAGACAGTTGTGAGCTGCCATGTGGGTGCTGGGAATTGAACCTAGGTCCTGTGGAAGAGCAACCAGGGATCTTAACCACTGAGCCATCAGCCAAATGTTATTTTTCATGGGATTAATTTTTAATATTTTTTCAGATCACACATTACATTAAAACATTAGGTTTGTTTTTATTTTATTTTATTTTTTTTAAATATTTATTTATTATGTATACAATATTCTGCTTCCATGTGTGCCTGCAGGCCAGAAGAGGGCGCCAGATCTCATTACAGATGGTTGTGAGCCACCATGTGGTTGCTGGGAATTGAACTCAGGACCTTTGGAAGAGCAGGCAATGCTCTTAACCGCTGAGCCATCTCTCCAGCCCCCTTGTTTTTATTTTTTAATGTATTGAAGACATTATCTTATACTCCTATTGATTTTTTTTAAAAATATATATAATGAAAAGGCACTGGATTTTTGTTACATTCATTTTCTGTATCAATTCAGAATATCATGTGTTTCCCTCTTTTATTGTGTTGCACTAATTAATTTTATGTATTGATTGAACCATTCTTACATTCCAAGAACTGATCACACTCAATCATGATACACAGTTATTTTTATATGTTGGGGAATTTGGCTTGCTACTGTTTTTCATGCCGGCGTCGTTTTCCACAATGCTGTGGTCTTGCCTGGTCTTAGAGTAACATCGGCTTCACTGCATGAATTAGAAAGTGTTCCTTTCTTTTCAGTGTGTCTATGGAAAAATTTAGGAAGAATGCTGTTAATTCTTACTTAAATAGCTGCTATAATTCACCAGTGAGGTCACTGGGTCAAGGCCTTTTTTTTTTTTTTCAAGTTATTATGTATACAATATTCTGTCTGTGTGTATGCCTGCAGGCCAGAAGAGGGCACCAGATCTCACTACAGATGGTTGTGAGCCACCATGTGGTTGCTGGGAATTGAACTCAGGACCTTTGGAAGAGCAGGCAATGCTCTTAACCGCTGAGCTATCTCTCCCGCCTGTTGGAAAATCTTTTAAATTACTGACTTCATCTTCATCTTCTTACTACTAGCAGGCTTTACCAAATTTTCTGCTTTTTCTCAAGCCAATTCAGGTTTTATTGTGGTGATATTTTTATTTGTGATCTAACAAATAAAGCTGGCCCAAAGATCAGAGTGCGGAGCTAGCCGCTAGTTAGCCATAAAGGCCAGGCAGTGGTGGCACACACCTTTAATTCCAGCACTTGGGAGGCAGAGACAGACGGATCTCTCTGAATTCAAGGCCACCCTGGGCTACACGAGATAGATTCAGTCTTAAAGAGAAACAAGAGCCAGGCAGTGGTGGCTCACATCTTTTAATCCTAGCACTGGGGAGGTAGAGACAGGAAGGGATATGACTGAGCAGAGAAGGTGCTCACTACATTCAGCCTGAGGATTCCTGGAGGCAGGATCTTGCCACCTTCAGTCTGAGGATTCAGTAGAGGTAAAAAGTCTCTCTAGTGGTTGGCTCCTTCTCTGATCTTTCAGCATTTACCCCAATATCTGACTTTGGGTTTTTATTATTAAGACCAGTTAAAACTTGTGCTACATTGTATTGTGTGTTTCTTAGAAATTAAGCTATTTCACCTGGTTATCCAACTTGTTGGCATACAACTGTTCATAATTCATAGTCAGGGTCCATTTGTTTCTATGAAGTCTATAACATCGTCTGCACTTGCATTTATGATCTTAGTAATTTGAGTTTCTGTCTTTGTATTGGCAAATGCCAATTCTGTTGATATTTTCAAAGAACCCACTGTTGCTTTCTGTTGGGGAATATTATTTTAAGGTGTGTGACTCTTGTTTACCTCTCTGAAGCTGTTACTGTGCCTGTCTGAAACACCTGATGATCCTAATAAAGAGCTGAACAGCCAATAGCGAGGCAGAAGCAAGGATAGGCAGGGCTGGCAGGCAGAGTATAAATAGAAGGAGAAAATCTGGCAAAAGGTAGTCAGGATAATTTAAGATAAGAAAAGCTGACTTGTTTCTTGCCAACTTTTATTATGTTAACCCATCTGCTTTTTTTCCTCTGGGCTTTTATCTTTGTTTACTTCTTTATACCTTTCTTCATTCTCCTTGACTTGCTGTGTAGCTGCCCCTGAAGCCCTCCTCTCCTTGTTTTCTGTTGCTCTTCTTCTCTCCTCCCAGATTTCTCCATCTGTTTGTACTCTATCTGCCAGCCCCACTTATCCTTGCTTCTGCCTCGCTATTGGCTGCTCAGCTCTTTATTAGGATCATCAGGTGTTTTAGACAGGCACAGTAACAGCTTCACAGAGTTAAACAAATGCAGCGTAAACAAAAGTCACACACCTGAAAATAGTATTCCCCAACAGCTTTCATTGGCTTTCTCTACTACCCTGTTCTTTTGGTTCTTTCTACTTTATTATTTCCTCCCTTTTGGTAGCTTTAGCTTTAGTTTGCCGTTCTTGTCTAAATAGTATGGTGTGGCTGTAATTTGAGATTTTTCTTCTTCTTGGACTGGGGATTGAACCCAGAGCTTTAGGCTTGTGAAACATAAGCCCTTCTCTGAGACTTTCCAATTCCTTTGTCTTCTTCCCTTTGTTATGAATTCTTGCTGTGTAGCCTAGATTGGCCTCTTTCTCCAGTTTTGGGGTTGCAGGCATGCACTCATGTCAGCTGCTTTTTTGGTACAGGGTTTCACTGGGAATCTCTGGCTAGCCTGGAATTCTCTGTATAAATCCAGATGTCCTCAAACTCAAAGAGATCCCAGGCCTCTGCTTCCCAAGTGCTGGAATCAAAGGAATGCTCTCATACCAGCTGCTTCCTTCTTTTTTAATGTATGCATTTACAGCTAAAATTTCCCTTTCAGCATTGCCATCACTGTGTCTCATAAATTTTAATATGTTGTGTTTTCATTCATTTCAATATATTTATTTACAATATATTAATTACTACCATTCATCTCTAACTTTATTTAGATTTCTTTTTGGGACCATTGATTGTCTAAAATTGTGTTATTAAACTCCCACGTATTTGTGGACTTTATTTTTTAGTTTTGGTTTCTCATTTGATTCCACTGTAATTGACAGATAACTCATTTTTGTCTCCCCTCCCCCCCAGCGGGTATTTCTCTGGGACTTGGATGAAACCATCATCATATTTCATTCCCTTCTCACTGGATCCTATGCTCAGAAGTATGGAAAGGTAATTCAGTCTTTTTTGTAACTATCCCTCCTCTGGCAAGATGAGCAGCTGACCTAACTCTCCCAACTATTAAGGTAGAAAATCCATTTTCTCTGCTGCCTGTCTTGCCCTATTGACTTTTTGCTTTTATATATATGAGTATTAGTGATTGCGGCTCAAGAGATGGCTTGGTAATTAAGAGCACTTGCTGCTCTTATAAAGGAGCAACAAGTTTGGTTTTTGGTTTGGTTCCCAGCGCCCACATGACAGTTTACACCACCTGTATCTCCAATCCAGAGGATCCAACACTCTCTTCTGCACTCTGCTGACACTGTATGCATTCAGACCAAACACCCATACATATAAAAATTAAAAATAAAGCCTGGTGGTGGTGGCGCAAGCCTTTAATCCCAGTACTTGGGAGACGGAGACGGGCAGGTCTCTGAGAGTTCAAGGCCAGCCTGGTCTACAAGAGCTAGTTCCAGGACAGGCTCCAAAGCTACAAAGAAACCCTGTCTCGAAAAAAAAAAAATCAAACAAACAAAATCCCTAGTACTGGGGATCAAACCCAGGGCCTCAAAAATGCTAGGCAGCTAGCCCTACCTTGTTGATTTTGAACTCTCCATGTATAAACCTGACCACATAGCTGCCGGGCAGGCTCCATAACTAGGTAGGTTTGATGGTCAAGCTAGACACTTGATTAGGAGAAGTACTAAAAGCTGAAGGTGTTCAGGAGTGCGTTTTCAGGTTGATGAGATGGCTTACCAGGAAAAAGTGCTTGCCGCCAAACCTGAGTTCAGGCTCAGGTTTAAAAGTGATGAATTAATTCCCTACAAGTTGTCCTCCAACAATGTGCATGCCTAAACACACACATAACAAAATAAATTTTTTTTTAAGATTTATTTATTTATTATGTATACAGTATTCTGTTTGCACGTATGCCCGCATGCCAGAGGAGGGCACCATATCTCATTACGGATGGTTGTGAGCCACCATGTGGTTGCTGGGAATTGAACTCACAACCTCTGGAAGAGCAGCCAGTGCTCTTAACCACTGAGCCATCTCTCCAGCCCCCACATAACAAAATAAATAAGAGTGGTTTTTTTTTTTTTTTTTTTTTTTTCGAGACAGGGTTTCTCCGTAGCTTTTGGTTCCTGTCCTGGAACTAGCTCTTGTAGACCAGGCTGGCCTCGAACTCACAGAGATCCGCCTGCCTCTGCCTCCCGAGTGCTGGGATTAAAGGCGTGCGCCACCACCGCCCGGCAAATAAGAGTGTTTTTAATTAATTTTATAAGCATTGAAGTGTAGGAATAAGACTTACTTGAATTTAATGAAATCTAAGGGTTATATATTCATAAGACTGACCTACTAAGCCTTAAATCCCTTCTCTCTCTCTCTCTCTCTATCTATCTATCTTTCTCTGTCTCTCTTTTTCTTCAAGACAGGGTTTCTCTGTTTAACAGAGACTTATTATTAAGTATAAACGCTTGGCCTTAGCTTAGGCTTGTCCCACTAGCTCTTTTAACTTAATCTAACCTGTTTCTAGTCACCGATGTTGTGCCTTGGTTTTTTTTTTTTTAACCTTTCTTTCATTCTGTATGTCCTACTTTCCTGCTTCCTCCATGTCTGTCTGTCTGGCCCCTAGCATCTCCTTTTTCTTTTTTGCCTTACCCAAGCCTAAATTCTTCCTCCTACTTACTCACTCTGCCCGAAGTCCTGCCTATACCTCCTCCCTTGCTATTGGCTGTTCAGCTTTTTATTAGATAAGTCAGGTGCCTCAGGCAGGCAAGGTAAAATAGTAACACATCTTTAAATAATTAAATGCAACATATCTTTATAGTTAAACCAATATTCTGCAACAAATTAAACATATAGATAAAATAGATTGTTGTTGGGGACTGTGGACCTCCAGACCCTGAATTTCCTGTAAACAACTTGTTATGCTTGCAGTTGCTCTGAGCAAAACAACTTGTTTTCCTGTGTTTGCAGCTGCTCTAAGCACAAGACCCTCAGGAGTTCCTTATGGCAGGGGAGTGGTTTTTGGTGGGTTTGGCTGGGGCGTGGCTATTCGTTAAGGATTCCTATATAAGCTGCCCTGAAACACAATATAGGGGACATTCTTGGGACTGTCCCAAGATTCTGGTGTCTCTGTGTTTTTGTGTATTTCAATCTCCAGCCACTTGCCTGGCTCGCAAACGGTCCAGTAGTGCAGGCGGTACACTACAGGCGTAGTACACGTACATAGTACAGGCGCTACAGGACCATAGTATGGGTAGCAGTATGGATAGTACAGATTGTCATATGATTTCTGTTAAATTTATTTTGTTTTGAGACTAGGTCTCATTCTGTAGCACAGGCTGGCCTCTAAATGTCAATTATCCTTCTGCCTCTAAGCCTCCCAAGTGTTAGGATTATAGGTGTGAACCACTACCCCTAGATCTAAAGTAGATGTGCTTTTTAAAAACTGAATTGTATGTGTAATCTTCAATGTGAACATTACTGTAGCAGAAGCATGAGCTTAGGCAGGTTAGCTCTGTGTCTGTCTTCGTCGAGACAGGGTCTCACTGTTACTTTGACTGTCCCTGAGCTCAGTCCTCCTGCCTCAGCCTCCTGACTGCAGAACTGTGTTTCTCTACACATTATCTCCAGGATCGTGTTGCTTCATTTCTACTTTTTTTTTTTTGGTTTTCCGAGACAGGGTTTCTCTGTGGTTTTGGAGCCTGTCCTGGAACTAGCTCTGTAGACCAGGCTGGTCTCGAACTCACAGAGATCCACCTGCCTCTGCCTCCCGAGTGCTGGGATTAAAAGCGTGCGCCACAATTGTTCACTGTCTTGCTATTCCCAATTATCTGGGATTGCCAGGAATCTCTTCTACAAGTACTTTCCACGGTCTGACCAACTGACAAGCTCCAGAACTACATCCCTAAATCCCTTAGGAAAATAGTTATGTTCTAAGTGACCTTGCTTAGTTTTAAAGCAACCTGCGATGGTTGTCCTGCACATACTTTGACTCCGGCCTTCTTTATTTTCTGGCTGATAGGATTGTTAGGTTCCCAGTGTTCCGTGTGTCATAGGAGCAGAAAGGTGCACATTACAGTAGCGGTATTTGAATTGTAATTATAACTTTATGAAAATACTGGTTTCTAAAACTGAAATCTTGACATTTTTAGTAATAACTGTCCATAGCCTCTATGTTCTGTAATCCCAGGTTCTTATAAATGATAGTGAAATTGTATAAGGTTTGAAGTATTGTGTGTGACCAGTATTGTTTTGGACATGGCTCAAAGTTGTTTCAAAATATCTGAAAGTTAGAACCAGTGTTGTGACCAGAGTTGTAACATCAAACACTGTTCTCACTCCTTTTTTGTTCCAGGACCCAACAGTAGTAATTGGCTCAGGTTTAACAATGGAAGAAATGATTTTTGAAGTGGCTGATACACATCTGTTTTTCAATGACTTAGAGGTAAGTGGTTTAAATTGTTTTTCTGCTTCTGTTAGAGCCGTTGCTTGTATTTAGAAGGTGGGAAATTAGATATACCAGAGGTGGAGCAGTTATGCTAAGAGAACACCACAAGCGTCTTTCTCTGGGAAGAACAGTGTCACAGCACTAGATCTGGGTGTGCTAGTTTAGACTTAGTTGATTTTGCTTTGTTTTTTTTTTTTTTTTAAAGAGTTGGATATGTGATATTTTGGGTGTTTTTTTTTTTTTCTTTTTTTGAGACCTGGTCCCCTATAAACCAGAGGGGCCTCAAACTCACTATGTAACTGAAGACGACTTTGAACTTGTGATCTTGCCTCTACCTTCTGTGAGCTAGAATCACAGGTGTGCCACGGTGCAGGAGTTTATGCAGTGTGAACAGGGGTTTCTGTGTGTTAGCACTCTACCAGCTGGAGTTTGTTGAAAGAGTTTAGATGTTTTTAACAGATTTTTAAGCACAGGAGTTAATAGAAAGAGTAGTACTAAGAAAGAAAGTTTGTGGATTTCTCAGAACTGCCCCTTTGAGACAGGTCTGGTAACACACACATGTAACACCAACAATTAGGAGGCTGAGGTAGGAATATCATGGTTTCAAGACCTGTCTCCAAAAAAATAAAAATTTACTATTGTTTTGGTTACTTTATTCGGGAGTAAAATACAGGAATACTACTATAAAAGTCAGTAATCTAATATGTTATTAAATAATTTATATGCCCTTATAATCACTTTTATTTGTTTTGTTTTGTTTGAGTCGATCTCACTATGTAGCTCTAGCTGGCCTGAAACTGTGTAGACCAGGCTGGCTTCGAACTCACAGAGATCATCCTGCCTCTACTGCCTGAGTTCTGGGATTAAAGGTGTGCATCACTATAGCCTTCTACTGCTTTTAGAAAAAATATTTTCTTCCTTTTCCTTCTTTCTTTGTCTTTTTTTTTTTTTTGAAGGTGTGTGTGGGTGTTTTCATTTATGTTTGTCCATGATGCCCCAAGGGGGCACCAGATCCCCTGGGACTGGGGTTAAAAGCACCTTTTGGGTGCTGGGAAATGAACCAGCCCATCTGGAAGAGCAGACGTATGCTTGGCCACTGAATCAGCTCCAGTCCCTATGCCCAGCTTCTTGATTATATCTTGACTATTCTTTAATTTTACCTTTTTAAAAACAATAATTTACCTTCTTGGTCCTTTGGTCTCTAATTGATAGATGATTAGTATAACTCGTTGCTATTAGCTGTTTTATTGTCCACTTTAATTGACTTTTTTCTTTTCAGAATAATTTTTCAAAAGTCATTATATGACACAGATCAAAGCCTGGTATCATATATGCACTATAAATATTTTCTTTAAATAATTCTAACTTTTCCATGCCTTTTGGAAATCCATAATTTTTAGTTTTAATAAAGAATTATTATTACATTTTTTCTTCTGTATTAAAATGTTTCTAACTCTTGTTTAAAGTTTATTTTCCTACCCTCAAATGGCAAAGATATTCTTCTGTGTTTTCTTATAGATAGAAACTTTTAATAGTTTTTGCTTGGTTTTGGCCTTGTTTGTTGTTTTTCATTTGGAGATTGTTTTTTTTTTTTTTTTTTTTTTTTTTGGTTTTTTGAGACAGGGTTTCTCTGTGGTTTTGGAGGCTGTCCTGGAACTAGCTCTGTAGACCAGGCTGGTCTCGAACTCACAGAGATCCGCCTGCCTCTGCCTCCCGAGTGCTGGGATTAAAGGCGTGCGCCACCACCGCCCGGCTCTGGAGATTGTTTTTGAGACAAGGTCTGTATAACCCAGGTTGACTTTTAACCTTAAAATTTTTCTGCCTCAGCCACCTGAGTGCTGGCTTTACAGGCATACAATACCATACATGGCTCTGACTGTATTTCTCCTTGTGTTTTTTACCTGTGTGTAAGTGAAGCTCCGAGTACTCTCTCACCATTTTATGAATAGGTGAATGGAGCATGCGGAGAAGGTGTGGTGAAGCTCTTGGCTTTGCTTTTGGTGTTCCCTCTGGAAGTAAACATGGTCCAGCAGATCCCAGGATTGGGAGTGTGAAAAATTCAGTGTGGGAGTCTTGGGCTGGAAAAGTCATGGTCCCATCCTGGGTGTGAGCAGTCATCTTGTTTGAGAAACTAGTCACGTATGTTCCGGCCAGAGGAGTGGGTTGTGGGGGCACAGGACAGGTGGGGAGGGAAAAGCTGTTTGTACTCCATGTCTTCACACTCTGCAGTGTGTATGTACTACCTCACTTCTAAAAGTAGTAGTTTTGAAGTAAAGAACATATTATAAATACACAGTAAGCCCTGCTCTTTAAATGCAGACTAGTTCTCCAGCAAATCAGGTTCCCGTGGCTCTAACAGCAGTGGTTTAAATGCAGACTAGTTCTCCAGCAAATCAGGTTCCCGTGGCTCTAACAGCAGTGGTTTTACCTCAGCTCTACAATCCTTTAAACCTGCCCTCAACTCACTTGTTGACAAATTGAGACAGCATACTTTATAATCAGTGAGCATTAGTTGGAAACCTACTGTGTGCCAATAATTATTCCCAAATTGTACTGATTTTCTAGACATAGTGAGCACTCAGGACCGAAAGTTCTGGAAGAATTTGACCTGAATGTGTTTCTGCCCCCGGGTCAATAGTTCTCAACTTTAGGGGCATAAGAGTCCCATGAGTAGTGTCTTAAAATTGGAGATTTTAGAACTTCAATTCCAGAAGTTCGAGTAGGTCTGCCATGCACCCAAGAATACGCACTTTTAAAAGTCTTCCCCAGGATTCTGATGTAGGTGCTCTACTAGTGCCAGGGAACACATCAAGCTGCCAGTTGAGGCAGTTGGTACATTTGAGCTTGACAGAAAATTCCACTTCTTGTCTCTTTCTACCACTCACCAGTTGTCTGATCCTGAGAAAATCATTTCCCCTTCCTTTAGCATACAAGTTCTAGATCTAGCATTGACTTAGATGGCCTGTGCTTATGCATATATTTAGGTAGGCATTTCTGTTCCAACTATTCTGTTTTTTGTTTTTAAGATTTGTGTATTTAATATGCTCTTTCTGCATGTACACCTGCAGACCAGGAGAGGGCATCAGATCCCATTACAGGTGGATGTAAGACACCACCTGGTTGCTGGAAATTGAACTCAGGACCTCTGGAAGAGCAGCCAGTTCTCTTATGATGCCGTACTTCAACATCTGTTTCATCTACAAAAATTAATTGTATACAATCCAGGCAGTGATGTGCAAATCTTTAATCTCAGCATTTGGGTGGTTGAGGCAGACAGATCTCTGAGATTGAGGCCAGCTTGGTCTACAGAGCGAGTTCCAGGACACAGCTAGGCCAAGTGCCTCACAACTACCTATAATTCTAGACCTAGGAAATCTGATCCCCCTTCTTGCCTTTCTTTCTAGTTTGCACATATACACATCTACAGACACACATACACAAAAATAAAAAAATAAAGTAAATCAAGCGGGCAGTGGTAGCACACACTTTTAATCCTAGCACTTGAGAGGCAGAGACAGGCAGATCTCTGTAAGTTCAAGGCCAGCCAGGTCTACAGAATGAGTTTCAGGACAGCCATGGCTACACAGAGAAACTCTATCTCAAAATAAAATAACAAAGTGAATCTTAAATGATGTAAAGGAGATATAAGCTCTGAGTCCTACAGCATATCTTATAGAATTTACAATCTAATCAAGATCATAGAGGCAGAGACACTGGCAGTGAGGAAATGAACTGTTTAGAGCAGAATTGAGTGACAGAACTGGTCAAGAAGTTTCATAAAGACTGTCTGCTGTTTATCAGGTATTAAAGTACTTGGCCACGTGCCAGAGAGATGACAAAGTATTTCATCCTCTGCCATTGTATGTGGTCCTTTACATGGTAGTGATAGCACTTCTCTTCCCTGGAGTGAAATAGTGCGTTTTGTCTTTTAACAGGAGTGTGACCAGGTGCATGTGGAAGATGTGGCTTCTGATGACAATGGCCAGGATTTGAGGTGTGGTAAACACGGTGATGCCTTGAACATCAGTACACCCAGTATGTGCACAACACTGAGTGCAGAGGAAGAGAAAGATGAGAACACTTGCTGTCTACTGTTAGAAGAGTCCAAGGCCAATGTAACTGACCCTGACATATGCTGAGGCAGCGGTAGAGAAGTGATGGGAGCAGAGCAGGAAGTGGAGTGGTGCTGATCTGTGAGGGGAGCGGGTGTAGGCACCTTTAGAGAGGCCTCAGTGATCACCCCAAGAAATCTCAGGTAGTGACACTGGATGCTGAGCCGGCATCTCAGAGTGAAAAGTATGCTGGTTTCCCTTCACACAGATTCTCTGTCAGAGAAATCATGCTTCTAGACTAGACGGTCGTAGTTGCACTTAAGCATCAGGAACTTTACCCCGTAATTGTGGAGCTTTGATGGTGCCAGGAATAACCCTACGAATAATAGTCAACTGTCGTATTCTTGTGAAAATTAAACCAGGGCCGTCCCATTGGCAACTCAGTCTCCTCATTCCTCTGTTGGTTACTCTTTCTTCTGACCCACTGATCCTTTTAAAAATACCTATTATTTCTTGTCATTGCATGTACAGATGCGTGCACACACGCTTGTGGAGGTCAGAAAAAAATAACTGTGCACTCGGTTTCTCCTTCCTTTACTGAATCCAGTCGCCATGGTTGTGTGGAAAGCACATTTACGCACTGAGCCATTCCAGTGGCCTTGATCCGGTGATCTTGTCTAAAAGACACCCAAACATTTAAAGACTTGAGAAGAAAAGACTATCCTGTCTTTTCATGTTAATTTGTTTTAATGTTTTATCCCTTTTCATAGGTAAAATGTTCTTTCCTGTGTCTTCCCTAAAATTAAGCATTTTATCTATGTTTGGTGTTTGTTAGTTTTTCAAGACAGGGTTTCTTTGTGTAGTCTTGACTGTCCTGGAACTTACTCTATAAACCAGGTTGGCCTCGAACTCAGAGATCTGCCTGCCTTTACCTGCTGAGTGCTGGGACTTAAAGTGTGTACCACCACATCTGGCTCATCTATAATTTCCTAATGGCACAGCAGAGCTAGACACACCTGTCCATGTAGCACTAAAGAGGAAACCCCTCTCTCGCAGACAGCAGCTGCTCATGTGTCGTGTCTTTAATGACTGAGATTTTATTTGTCTCTTGGAAGCCTCCTGTCAAACTGTATATAGCTTGTTTGCTTATATATTATTGTTTGTTTTCTTTTATGTGTGAATGATCCAATTTCCTATTTTATGTCTTAGCAGCTTTATTTGTTTTTTTATTAATTTTTTTGAGACAGGATTTTTCTGTATAGCCCTGGTTGTCCTGGAACTTGCTCTATAAACCAGGCTGTCCTCTGAGCCTGAGATCCAACTGCCTCTTGCTGGGATTAAAGGCATGTTATTTTAACTAGGTAAAGATATGTTACATTTGTGGGCTGGAGAGATGGCTCAGTGGTTAAGAGCATTGCCTGCTCTTCCAAAGGTCCTGAGTTCAATTCCCAGCAACCACATGGTGGCTCACAACCATCTGTAAAGTGGTCTGGCGCCCTCTTCTGGCCTTCAGGCATACACACAGACAGACTATTGTATACATAATAAATAAATAAATATAAAAAAATAAAAAAAATTTAAAAAGATATGTTACATTTGTTTATGCTACAGAATATTACTTCAGCTGTGTAAAGGTGTGTTACCTTTGTTTAATTAAGAAAAGATGTGTTGCATTTTTGTTTCGCCTTGCCTACAGCACCTGATTCGTCTAATAAACTGAATGACCAGTAGCTAGGCGGGTGAAGGATAGGCAGGGCTAGGAGGCAAAGAGAATAAATAAGAGGAGAAATCTAGGCTCAGAAAAAAGGATGAGGAAGAACAAGAGAAGGAGGAGGAGAACTGAGGGAGACACCTAGGTGGTCTAGCCAGAGACGGAGAAGCAGAGAAAGTAAGATGTGCAGAAGGGAGGAAGATAATAAGCCCCAAGGTGAAAGGAGATAAAGAGAAACAGGTCAAGTTTAAAAACCTCACCAGAAACGTGCCCAAGCTAGGCTGAGATTCAAAACTAATAAGTCTCTGTGTCATGATTTAGGAGCTGGTTGGTGACCAAAAAGGAAAAGCCTGGTATGGTACAATGTGCCACCATGTCTTGGCTTCTTAGCAGCTTTATTTAATGTATTGAGTCCTGTTTTGACATGCTGGGTTTTTTGAAAAAATCTAGCCTATGCTGCTCAGAACTTGTTATGCAGCCCGTCTGACCTTAATTTATGCTCCTCCAGATTCAGTCTCCCAAATGCTGGAATTAGATGTGAGCCACCATGGCCGGTTCTGTTTCTCCTTTTCACATAGCTGTAATTATATTTACATAGCCATATATTCTGCTTTTTTCCCACTGTATAGTATTCTGTTACTAATGAAAACAGTGAGCCTCTGTGGGGTGCTGGTGCTTAGGTTACTTTCCTTTCAGTGGTCACCATCATCTCATCCTGAGGTCAGGAGAGACTGGACATGCATGGTGGGGCACACTGGTGTTGTAGCCCTTGGAAGGGAGAGACAGGAGGATCAGGAGTGTGAGTCCAGCCTCAGCTACCTAGCTACTTATAGAACTTGAAACTAGTGTAGGCTACATGAAGCTTTTCCTCAAAAAATAAAAACAACACCAACAGAACCAATATCCATGAGAAGAGTTTTAAAGTATTAGCTTTGTTTATTAGACACAAGGAACAGGGCACAGAATCTCAGGTAACATTTAACCTCATACCCTGTAGGTATGGATTTTAATTTTCATATCCCCTCTCTCTGCAGCAACTATAGTTTCTCAACGGATGGTTTCAGTGGTTCAGGAGGCAGTGGTCACGGTTCGTCTGTGGGTGTTCAGGGAGGTGTGGACTGGATGAGGAAGCTGGCCTTCCGCTATCGAAAAGTGAGAGAGATCTATGACAAACATAAAAGCAACGTGGGTGGTAAGTGTGGACAGCCAGTCTGAATCTGTTTCTTAATGATTTCCTGCATTCCTTTCTGAGAGTGCCCTTAATCCACCTTGCAACTTAATTAATTCTTAGGAATTTATGTCATGTTAAATCTGTATTTTAAGCAACAACAACAAAAAACACAAGCCAGGCAATGGTGGTGTTTAATCCCAGCACTCAAGAGGCAGAGGCAGGTGGATCCATACAGATCTACAAGGACAGCCAGGGCTATTACACAGAGAAATCTTCTTTCAAGAAAAAAATATTAAAAAAAAAAAAAGAATGGAGCCAGGCAGTGGTAGCGCACGCCTTTAATTCTAGCACTCCAGAGGCAGAGGCAAGTGGGTCTCTGTGAGTTCGAGACCAGCCTGGTCTACAAGAGCTAGTTCCAGGATAGGCTCCAATACTACATGTCTCCAATAACACAAAAAAAAAGAATGGGAGATGATAGTTAAGGCTCTGCACCATTGATGGCTGTTTGAATGGGAGTTTCAGTAGAAGCTCTACATTCCTAAATCCTCTTAATGTAACTTCTGATGATTATGCTATTTTCTTTAGACAAGTATCTTTTTAAAGAAAATGTGCTGTTAGTCGACTTCCCTTGCTGTGATAAAATACCTGAAATGATCAGTTTAACAGGATGAAAGATTTATTATTTATTTATTTTATTGGTCATTTGGACCTATTATCTTGAACTAATGGCCAACCAGAACATCATGGCAGGGAGAGGCTGGTCATCTCATTGCAGCAGAGAAAGAGGGAGGAGGAGTGAAGGTAGCTTGGTTCCTAATATCACATTAAAGCACCTTCAGTGAGAACAAGCCTTCATTACATTAGCTTTTGGAGAATAGGTAAAATCTAAACCATAATACATCCCACAGATTATTATTTTGGTTGCTTGGTTTGTTGGTAGGTTGTTGAGACAGTCTTGTTAGGTAGCCCAGTCTATCCTTGAACTTGCTCCCAAGTACTGAAACGCTAGGCATGCCCTACTATAGCCACCTCAATATATCACATTTGATGCAGAATTTTTTTTTAATATTTATTTATTTATTATGTATACAATATTCTGTCTGTGTATATGCCTGCAGGCCAGAAGAGGCCAGCAGACCCCATTACAGATGGTTGTGAGCCACCATGTGGTTGCTGGGAATTGAACTCAGGACCTTTGGAAGAGCAGGCAATGCTCTTAACCACTGAGCCATCTCTCCAGCCCTTGATGCAGAATTTTTAATGAGTTACAGCCACTGTTGGTACTAATTAAGACTGCCATAGTGAACAAATATCCACACTCATCATGGCAACTCAAATAGTTGGGAAATAGGTCCAGGATCATAGTGGCAGTGTTCATGTGCTGTTATCTGAAAGGCCTTGGAAATATTATCTGCCCAGAAATGTTGTAGTTTCATGGATTGTTCAAAATGGAAGAGACATTAGAAATCTGTAGCGCAAAAAATAAAAAGGATGTTGGGGATCAAACGGAAGATCAGAAAAGCAAAGCAGCCAACCACTAGAGAGTTCTTACCTATACCAAGGCTGGGCCATCCTGTCCTCAATGTGACTGCAGACTGAGACCCTGAGCTCCTGTCTCCTCCTGTTTCTCTCTAGTGTGCCACCCATCTGGCCTCTATGGCTAACTAGTGTAGCTGCTGGGATTAAAGGTGTATGCCTCCACTGCCTGAACTTTATGGCTGACTAGTGTAGCTAGCTTTGCACTCTGATCTTCAGGCAAGCTTTATTAAAACACAAATAAAATATCACTATAGAAATCTACTCTAAATACCTCATTTGACAATTGACATTTGACAAATTAGCATCCATCATAGGGGCAAGCATAGCATAACACAGTCATATAGAGCAAATTAGTAGGCTGGCCACATTCTCTGACTTGAGGTCAATGCACTTTCCAATTTTGTCGTTCATTTACTAGCGATGTGCTCTTATAAGAAAATAGTTAAAACTATGAGCCCTCACCCTCAAAAAAGACTGCACACAGTGCTGCATGAAGTTTAGGATTTGTGTGGATTCCACAGGAGAACATTCTGCCATGTCACAGTCTGTGGCTGAAAGCAGAGATGGGGCTTTGAAGTTTAGTTGGGTCATCCTGTGACAGCCTTCTGATAGCAAAGAGACAAAATCATGGGCTTCTAGCTCTCAGGAACCTAATTTCTTTTTTCAGATCCTCCCCTCCCCCAAGCCTAAGTGTCTGATCCTTTCCTGCCTACTGACTAGACCTCAGTTCCTGGAGAAAATGATACAGCACACCTGAACCTGCTTGGGAGAACATTTAAAAAGTGGTACCAGCCAGACATGTGTCACATACATTTAATGCCAGCACTAGGGAGGCTGAGGCATGTGGATCTCTGAGTTCAAGGCCCGTCTGGTCTACATAGTAAGTTCCAGGCTAGCCGGGGTTACATACTAAGACTGCCTTTAAAAAAAAAAAAAGTAATATCTCCCTATAATACAGGACTTTTTATAATTCTGAGTCACACTTGCTCTTTAAATTTTGTAACTCAGAGTGTCTGACAGTGGGTTCCTATATGAGATCTATCATGTTTTATGCCCAGTTAATCTAGTGTCCTAGAGCAATGTGTTGTCTGCTGTCAACTGTAGTTGTTTCAGCTGTAAATATCCTGCAGGGGATTGGTTCTTCACCCTGGCATGTTTCTGTGCAGGGAAGCTTGTACAACACCTCACTATGATGCTTATGTCCTGTTATGGTGTGCCCATAGGGAAGAAAACAATTTGGTGAGGAGTCACATTGAGTAGTACCATTCTCAAAGTTTTCTAAACCATGGGGACTGTATAACCTCAGGGGCTCATGGGAGTTGCTTCTTTGTATAGCAAGTATATTAGCTCCTGGTCTGCAGCACAGCAGCGGATAAGCACAGCTTAGAAAGAAGGCTTTATTTTGTGTCACAGTGGCAGTAGGAGAGGGCAGCTGGCCATCAAGTCCACAGTCAGGAAACAGAGCGAAGACTACTTGTGCTCAGCTGCTTTCTCCTTTGTGTTCAGTTCAGGACCCCAGCCCATCTACATTTAGGGTGTGGGTCTTCCTACTTCAGTAGCCTAATTCTGATGATCCCTCACACATATGACCAGAGATTTGTTTCCATGGCGATTCTAAATCCCATCATGCTGACTATCAAATTGACTGTCATAGCAAGTTTATGTTGTCAGATAACAAATGTGTCTGCTTTTCTCTGAAGGCCTCCTCAGCCCGCAGAGGAAGGAAGCACTGCAGAGACTGAGAGCAGAGATCGAAGTTCTGACGGACTCTTGGTTAGGGACTGCGCTAAAGTCCTTGCTTCTCATCCAGTCTAGGTAAAGAAATGTTTCCTTTCATCTTCACCTCTCAAGGACACACTGCTTCCTATCACTTGTCCAAGCTAGGCCATCCCCTAAAATGGAGTTTAGGATCAGGGATTAGAAGGCTCAAATGAGCTGGCAATGGTGATGCACTCCTTTAATCCCAACAAGCAGAAGGCAGAGGCTGATCTTTGAGTTTCGGGCCAGCGAGTTACAGGACAGCTAAGGCTACACAAAAAAACCTTGTCTTGGGCTGAAGAGATGCCTCAGTGCTTAAGAGTATTGCCTGCTCTTCCAAAGGTCCTGAGTTCAATTCCCAGCAACCACATGGTGGCTCACAACCATCTATAATAAGGTCTGGTGCCCTCTTCTTGCCTGCAGGCATACACGCAGATAGAATATTATATATATAATAAGTAAATAAATTAAAAAAAAAAACCTTGTCTTGGGGAAAACAAAAGAAGAAAGCAGAATTTCAATGAAAAGCTCTCTAAACAGGCATAGTGATGCACGCCTGTGACTCCAGGTCTTGTGAGGTGTAGGCTGGAGGATCAGGACTTAGTTCAAGGCCATCCTTAGCTATATAGTTTGAGGGCAGTCTGGGCTTCTTGAGACTGTCTCGAGAACAAAAAGGAGGAGAAATAATGCAATAAGAAGATTAAGGGAATGAGTGGTGGTTGCAGCAGTGCACACCTTTAATCCCAGCACTTGGGAGGCAGAGGCAGGAGGATCTCTGTGAGTTAGAGGCCAGCCTGGTTTGCAGAGCGAGTTCCAGGACAGCTACAAAGAAACCCTGTCTTGGAAAAAAAAAAAAAGATTTATTAAGGAGTAAACATGTGCTTGCTACCAAGTCTAATGGTGTTAGTTCTACATACACAATAAATGTAACTTTAAAAAAAAAAAAAATGAAGGTAGGCACTGAAGAGATTAAGACCTCTTCCTGAGTTCAATTCCCAGCAACTGCATGGTGGCTCACAACCATCTACAATGAGATCTGGCTCCCTCTTCTGGCATGCAGATATACATGCAGACATGCGGGTGATTAAGGAGATTTTACCTTGAAGCCTAGGATGGTCTTCCTGAGTTCAATTCCCAGCAACTGCATGGTGGCTCACAACCATCTACAATGAGATCTGGCTCCCTCTTCTGGCATGCAGATATACATGCAGACATGCGGGTGATTAAGGAGATTTTACCTTGAAGCCTAGGATGGAAAATAAATGCAGCCATAGCATGTACCAGTATCCTGTTGCTCCTCTCTTCCTCATGTCTATAATTTGGGGGACCAAAAAAAAAAAAAAAAACCACACTGAGGATAGAAATCCATGGGAGGTAAAGACCTAGGGAATCTTTGTGTCTTACTGAGTGACAAGCAGAGAGAATGTGAATAGTGTCTTATGAGTTCATTTCCACTGAAAATTGACCACAAATGAAAGCTGTCCTCCGTGCACTTGTCTCTAGAGTGTGGTGTCCAGAACAAGAAGACTTGGTGCTGATAGCTAACAAATGCAGTGAAAGCAGTGGCCAGAGCTGGGGAATGAGGGTTGAGAGGCTCAGTGCAGGAGCATTTACTGCTCTAGCAGAGGACCCAGGTTCAATTCCTAGCATCACGCCATCTCACTGGCCCCTCTGCCCTTTAGTCTAGAAAATAAAATCTGAATAAGAGTGATAATTGAGTTGGGCGTGGTAACAGCACACAGAAGGCAGAGGCAGGCAGATCTCTGAGTTCGAGGCCAGCCTTATCTACAGAGTGAGTTCCAGGACAGCCAGTGCTATACAGAGAAACCCTGTCTTGGGGGAAAAAAAGAAGAAGAAGAGTAACATAACATTGACAATGCATTGACCAGCAATGTTCAGCTCTTTGAGGTTCCTTTTCAGTCAGACCCTGAAGAGCTGGCCCATTTGAACTCTTGTTCTTAGGTTGCTTCAGTTTCACCATTTTCTTTTCCTCCTCCTTCCTCCTAGGAAGAACTGTGTGAATGTTCTGATCACTACCACTCAGCTGGTTCCAGCCCTGGCCAAGGTTCTTCTGTATGGACTAGGAGAAATATTCCCTATTGAAAACATCTACAGTGCTACCAAAATAGGTATGTCATTCTCCCGTTGGCCTCTCGGAAACTTCCCCTGGGGCCGCTGTTCCTGCCAGTTCTGCTACACAGTACAAATGTTTGCCATCCAGCAGTCTTCCATAAGAGGCTTGAGGCTTAGCAGGTACCATGTTCGCTCAGGAAAACAGAACTGAACTAGTAAGCTCCTTTCTTCCACAACATTTCTTTCTTCGTTTGTTTATTTATTTTTTTATTCTGGCTGAAAATCTGTTATTGAGACCCGCTACCTGACTAGGTTAGAATCTGCTGCCAAGTCTGATGGCCTGGGCTCAGTCCTTAGGACCAGGTGGTAGAAGGAGAGAACTCCATAGTTATTCGGTGATCTCCACCTTCATACCATGGAACATAGGTGTACACTCACATACAACTGATGAATAAAAATGTTTTAGCTGGAACTATGGCTCAGCATTTAAGAGCACTTGTTCTTGCAGAGGACCTGAATTCATTATCCAGCACCCACATGGCAGCTCACAACCACCCAGAACTCCTGTTCTGGGATCTGACGCCCTCTTCTGGCCTCTGAGGGCAGCAAGTACACACATGATACATATACATGCATACAGGCAAAACATGCATAAAATGAATAAATCTAATTTTTTTAAGTTTTTAAATAAGAATTGAGAAAACTTAGTTTGGCAGTGGAGTTCTGTAGTCATTTGGGTTTTATTCACCAACCCTTTCTCCTTTAAGTTATGTATTCCATTGACAAGAGCTTTGGGCATTGAGGAAACAGACAATGGCTCCCTTCACCTTTGCCTCTGTTTCTGCTTTCCCATGCAGCAGACCTTCCCTGGAAACCTCCACACCCAAGAGCTGCATTTTCTGTGGTGAAAAGGCCTACTGCCCACAGGCTAATCCAACTAAGGGAAGGGCTTTATTCTCTCTGACATTAGGGAGCTTATTTGGTGATTTTCCTTAATCATAATTCTCCAAAGCTAATGTTGGAAGCTACAGTGTGATCTGGTGCCATGGTAACCACAGCGAGGAGCCCAAGGCTTTTCTTGTCAGAACTGTGAAATGGGAACAAGAATAGGAAGGTTTTTTTCCAATTTCTCTGGAAAAAGTGATTTCAAAATTAGGGTTTTCCTTTTTGTATATTTTTTGAGATAGGGTTCCCATGTAGCCCAGGCTGGCCTCAAACAGACTGTGTAATCAAGGATGATGCGGAAGGTTCTGATTATCCTCAGCCTCCCAAGAGCTGGGACTAGAATATGTGCCACCATGCCCAGCTAAAATTATGATTTTCTATGTAGTCACTCAGTAACCTTGGATATTGAATTCTCACGATCATTTCTGAAAATGCCAGAAGTGAGCTTAGGGACCTTGTTTTTTTGTTTTGGAATTAGGTTCTCTAGCTCAGGTTGCTTCCAATTCACAGCAATCCTTCTGCCTCACCTATTGAAGTTTTTGGTTACAAGCTGTGCTCCACACTGACTGATATTCTCCAACGACTTGGTTGACCACATCCTCCAGAACAGAAGATCTCCCATCTGTTATAGCTGAAGAGCTCCCATCCATGCTCTGTGGCATCCGTTAGAGTAGGTTCTTGCTGTGCATCCTCTTCCACCTCACCTGCTGATAAGCCCTCCTGTTCCCAGCTTGTGATAGAGACATGCCAGAGGCTATTTCCTCCTTGATCAGAGCATGTCAAGACATTGGGAATTTCTTCATCCTTCTTCCTAAACATGACATGGTCCTTTTGCTTGATCTTAGGAAAATGTCTGAAATCTGAACCAATGTTTTGTTTTTTTTCATAAGCAGATCACTCTTAGATACTGGCTTGTTAGAAACGCTATCATGGAATTAAACAGTTAACTTTTTAACACTTTGAGCATAATAATTCTGACTGGGCATATAGAAAAATGAAATATGATATTTGTAACTGGAAATTATATATGCCAGATTTAGAAAGACATACCCGGGAGGCAGAAGCAGGTGGTTCTCCGTGAGTTCAAGGCCAGCCCAGTCTACAAAGTGAAAAAAGAGAAAAAAAAGGTGCATCATCTACTTTCTCCCCTAAATGGAATTTAGGTTTAAGGCAGGGTAGGGGAGAAGAGTGTTCAGAAAGGGGCCATGAAAGGAAGGAAAAGATCCTAAGAGAGGCAGAGACAGGGGTTCAATGGGATGCTGAGAACAGAAGAGAGACTGTTTGGGAGACCAAAGGAAGCAGCAAGTGGGGATTTGATGGCTCAGCAATTAATATTGTTTCACTGAATTCAGTTCCCAGCTTCTGTGTCAAGTGGTTCACAACTGCCTGTCACTCCAGCTCAGCTCCTCTGATTTCTGCAATCACCTGTACGCATGCGAATAAATATTAATTTATTTATAACATATATGAAAATGACATAATGAAACCCATCACTTTGTATGCTAACTTAAAAAAGAATTCAGGGCTGGGGTTGTAGTTAATTGACAGAATGATTGCCTAGCATTCACCCCTAGGTTTGGTCGCCAGCATCATAAAACAAGAAAAGAGAAAAATAAAAGTTTTGGGCTAGGAGAGCTCATTTGGTAAAGTACTTGCCACATAAGCCTGAAAACCCAAATTTGTCCCCAGCCCACATATAATGGATATAATGACAGACACTTGTGATCCAAGCAATGGGGAGGCAGAGACAGGAGGATCCTTTGGGGCTGACTGGTCAGCCAGAGGAATCTAAGCAGTGAGCCTCAGGTCCTAGTGAGAGACTCTGTCTCATAGAACAAGGTGTTTATAGCTCCTAAGGAATGACAATTGAGGTCTACCTCAGACTTCCATGTGCATGTCTGTCAAACACATAAAGATACATACCCAAAATAGAAAGGATTAGTTTAATTATTTGAATATTAGTTGGATTATCTAATAGTTAATCCGAATTGGGCTCAGTATAGTGGCTCTCGGAGTCTTATGGTAAGTTAATGTACAGTCAAAAGCATTCATTCAGCAACAACTGCATCTGCAGAGGAGAGTCAGGCAGGACTGCCACAGTGAAGTAAGCACCAAACACCACATATACCTAAAAGGCCTTGTCTCTTAAGGAAGAAACTGGGAGCCACAGCAGACCAGTGTCTGCACCAGGACATCACTGGGCTGCCGCTTGGCTAGGAGTGTCATATTTACAGGTATCATGACTACTTTCCTGCAGGTGGCATTCCAGGGTCTTTCGGAAGAGTCTTAGGTCACTGGATCTGATGAGAATTAAAAATGAGGTTAATGGAGCAGAATAAAGAAGCCTACCAGTGGATAGCTCTCAGCTCTTGGTCACAAACCCTGGTGAGATGGCTCAGAGGTTAAGAGCATTGTCTGCTCTTCCAAAGGTCCTGAGTTCAATTCCTAGCAACCATGTGGTGGCTCACAACCATCTGTAATGGGATCTGGTGCTCTCTTCTGGCCTGCAGGCATACACACAGACAGAATATTGCATACATAATAAATAAATAAATAAATAAATAAATAAATAAATAAATATTTTTTTTAAAGAAAAACATGAATGTGGGAAAGGGACTTTGAAAGGGGGCCTCACAGAGGTGGGAAGGAGATGACAGGCAGGGCTGAGAGTAATCAGAACACATTATTATACACATGTGAAATTCTCTAAGAACAAATTTAATCAATAAAAATATATGGAAGCTGGGCAGTAGTGGCACACACTTTCAATGCCAGGACTTGGGAGGAAGAAGCAGGCAGGTCTCTGAGTTCAGGGCCAGCCTGATCTACAGAGTGAGTTTCAGGACAGCTAAAGTTGTTACACAGAGAAACCCTGTCTCAGGGGAGAGAAAAAATCATGGAGTTCTAAAAAGAGCAGTTGCCGTAGACCATGGCCACAGCCTGAATTTGGAGTCGAGACCAAGCTAAGTCTAGCTGCCGGCATGTGATCTGGTGAGACACTAAACCTATGATGCTCTGTAAAGCTGGGAATGGCAGTTCAGTGAAAGAGGTGGGTGCTTTGTAAGCTCGGAAGTATGGGAAATACACAAGAGAGGTGGAGGTGGTTACAGCTTGTTCATCCTAGGCTCCCTGTCCTATTTCTAGATAGTTGTTGTGAAGGTTAGAGTGAGTTGTTTTGGTAATGGCACGCCTTCACTTTGTTTGGGCAGAGGGGCTCCTGAAGCTCTGGCTCTGCTCCTAACCCGAATAGTCTGCACAGGCTGCTAGCATGGCAGGTGAGTGGAGCAGCAGTCCTTACCTTCGGTATTGAGAAAGCTAGGGAAGACTGTTCTAATAGGAAATGTGTTTTTCCTACAGGTAAGGAGAGCTGCTTTGAGAGAATTGTGTCAAGGTTTGGGAAGAAAGTCACATATGTAGTGATTGGAGATGGACGAGATGAAGAAATCGCAGCCAAACAGGTAACTGTAGAAAGAAAATAAAAACTGAGCTATGTGGTTGTTATGAAGCAGTTAGAAAAGCTGTACAGAGGAGCACATCTGTAATCCCCACCTCTGGAGGAAGTAAGAGGATGTGAAGCACGTGTGGTTGCGGTGGGACTATAGGTAAAGGCTGAGGATGTATCTAACTTGGCAGGCTGCTGCCCAGCCGCACGGAGCCCAGATTCAGTCCTCAGCACTCTATAGCCAGGATGGAGCTTGCCTGCAGTCCCAGCACATGTGAAGTGTAAGCAGGAGGTTGAAAGGGCACCCTTGGCTACATAGTTCACAGGATGCATGAGACTGTCAAAAAAGGGGTAGGGTAGAAAAATGGTAAAACTGAAAAATCTTTACAGCTATTATGTATTAGTAGTATATATTGTCCTTCCTCATTTTTCTTTAAGAAAAAGGTCATTTTTTCCCCAGGTAGAGTTTTTCCTATAATTTGTTAAGTCCTCCTCTGTCCTTTCCTCCCTGCCACTCAACCGTCTCTAAGGGTTATGAAAGTTCTCTCCTTGGCCTTTCTTTTCTTTTTTAAATTTAGAACCATGGCTTACCAACTAGGACTGCCCTGATTTTCTTCACCCAGTTCATAGAAATCACAGCAACTTTAGTGAACTATGTGATTGACAGTCAGTTGGCATCGTTATTTCATGTTATCATGGTAGAGCAAGTCATAGAGCTTGATAGAGCTTTTCCATGTTAACCATCGAAGCTTTGATTCTCCAGTGCTGCTCAGTCTCCCTTTGGGAAAAACTTGAGTGGCTTCTCAGTCTGGAGAAGTAGTAGGGAAGAGAAGTGCTTGAGCAGTCACAGAGGTCACCCTAAGCTAAGGTCTGCAATCTACTAAGAAATACATTCTCCAGGAGTCCAGGGTGTAAAAGTCCTACTAGCCAGTCCTCAGCACTGAGAAAAAAACAGAATATATTGATTAAAAATGTCTAAGTGTGCCAAGTGGTGTTGTTGTTCACCTTTAATCCTAGCGTTCAGGAGGCAGAGGCAGGCAGATCTCTGTGAGTTCAAGGCCAGCCTGGTCTACAGAACAACATGTTCCAGGACAGCCAGAGTTAAACAGAGAAACTCTGTCCCAAAAAACCAAAAAAGTCTGAGTGCTTTATGCAACTTATCTTGCTTTCTGTCAGGAATCTTTCTGCCAGCCTTTCTGGAAGAAAACTAGTCCTTGTATGAACATACCCAAAGGAAGAAGAAACTGATTCCCAAGCCAGCTACCCATGGGGCCATCCCAACTGTCAGTGTCCTTCTTTCCATTGGACAAAACGCCACCATCTAGTTCTGCTGTTCTCTTCCTCTGCTGTCTGCTAACAACCTGATAGTTGAGCAGCCAAAAAGGATGGTCAGAGGAAGTGATCCACTTCCACTTCAGCAAACATGGTTTTCTGCACTGGAGTAATCCTTCCAGAACAGGATATGGTCTTCTTAGTACAATTCTGGTGCCATAACATCCTGCATCTTGGACATGGGTAGAATTTGAGTCTGTTAGAGCAAAAGCTTACAGGAAACTGACCACCAGCTTCCTTCCCAGCCTGTTAGTAGTAACAGGATCTGCTGTGTTGCTCAGACTGGCCTCAACCTTTTTTTTCCTTTCGTTTTATTTGCATTGGTGTGAGGGTGTCATCCCCTGGAACTGGAATTATAAACAATTGTGAGCTGCCATGTTGGTGCTGGAAATTGAACCTGGGTCCTCTGGAAGAGCAGCCAGTGCTCTTAACTGCTGAGCCATCCCTCCAGTCCATGGCATCAATCTTGTAATCCTCCTGCCTCGGCCTCCCAAGTGCTAGGATCACAGGCATTCGATACTACATTCAGAAATACTAATTTCTTATCACCATTTTATTTGATCCTGAAAACCTTAAAAGCTAGGACAGGTATTTCTTATAAAAGCATAGGTAGCATTGAAATTTTTTACAAATTCCTCATATTTCTGTGTCCTGTACAAAGTTCTGACAAAAGGATAGATGGTTTCCAAGAGCCTCAAGGAGACATCTGTGGAGGAGAGGGTGTAAGTTGGCTTCCAGAAGTTGGGCTAATTAGCCTTCCTTCTTCTCTTCCAGCACAACATGCCCTTCTGGAGGATCACAAACCATGGAGATCTGGTGTCCCTGCACCAGGCTTTAGAGCTTGACTTCCTCTGAGAACTGGAACGTAGAGCCTTCCTTCCTTGTGAGCTTCTTTTACCTCCGACAGGAGTCAGGCTAGAGCCCTCTGAGACCCTTCTCTCCTGTCTGTCTGTCTGTCTGTCTGTCTGTCTGTGTCTCAGCGCCCCTTCCCCTTCTCTTGTGCTCTTTCTCTCCCTCCATGGAATGCTGGCGAGAACACAATCAGAACCAACTGCAGTTTTTGCTAAGAACAAGCCGCAGCCCCGTCCATAGTCCAGCAGGAGGTGGCTGGCTGGAACAGCAGACTTGATGCTGCTACTATGCTTTAGTTCTGTTTCCTTCAAGAAAGAAGAACGAGAAAAGGCAATGCTTGGGGCACAGTTGCACCTTTGGTGCATGGACAGACTGGGAGCTCCTCCTCATCATGCTGACGGAAAATGTGTCCCATGAGAATATCTCCTGTAATCGTAGATGTAGAAGTCCTCTCCCAGTGAATGGGTATGTTACTTTTGTAGCTGAGGGTCTGGTCTCTGAAGCACTCCTTCCCCCCCTCCCCCCCCCATGAAGAAAGCGGTGTGTAAAGTTTCCGTGACAGTGGTAATGGAAATGTCTGAAATACCTCTCTGTGTCAGCAGCACCCTTTAGTGGCCCAGGACTCTTCTTTCCAGGAGGCTCCTCACTGTCTTAGGGCCCTGGTCACTTACTAACTTTAGACTTTGGCGTCTCCCATCTTGTAAGCCTCTGCCTCCTTGCCAGTCCTTCATCTGTAACCAAAAGTCACAACCCTGGAAACTCCTTCCCATAAACAATAAATCTACACCTTTAGCTCATAATTTAGAGACTGCGTCCCAGGAGGCTCACCCTCCAAATTGGAGAGAAGGGGCTCGGGGTCCTTAGGAATTTCATCCTTGGCTCCTGAGGTAGGAGTCTTCCTAGTGCTCCTTCTGCAGAGCAGCTCCTGTTCCCAGCAGATGCTTGCTCTGTGGCCAGCTCAGTCATCAGATGTTGGGTTCACACTCCCTGCTCTCTTTCAAATCCACTTCTCTCCATGCAGCTCTGGCCAGCCCCCACCAAAAAGTCTTGAGAGCAGGCTACACCTGCTTCCTTTGCAACTTACATGCAGTTGTCCAAACTTATATTTGCCCAGATCTGTGTCTGGGAATAGAGAGCAGATTGTTAGAACCAAAACCCAATTTCCCATGAAACACTCCGTTTCTCAGATGCCATGATGAAGTGGGAAATCAGGCCAGAAATACTCTCTTGACTTAAATGCCTGAAAATGGAACCCTGAACTAGTTGCAAGGGCCCTGTCAGACTGCCCCAGATGCTTTGGAGGAGAGCCTGGGCATAGTCCCAGCCATCAAGTCCAGCTGGGTTTTGTTTTTTGGCTTTGTTGTTGTTGTTGTTTTGTTTTGTTTGAAGGCACTGTCCCTTGAGGACCAGTATGAGGTCCTTAATTGGGGTAAACTTCCCTAGAGGTGAGGGAATGTGCTACTGTGGTCCTCAGGAGGTCCTTGACAACCACTGCTACAGTCACTGTCCCCAGAAACGCTGCAGCACAGAGGCTACCAGACAGCAGCAGAAAGGCTGGCACACCATCTGCAGAACTGTTGGCCAGTACTTCTGAGAGCAGCAGTTGAGGAAGGGGCTCAGACAGGAAGTGAGGTTGGTGTTCCATTTTAGTCACTCATTTGGCTTTGTTTTGAGATGGGGGTGGGAGCAAAGAGGTGGCATCTAAGCCTGACTTTCCTAGGCTACATTGAGCACCACCATCCCAACACTGCCCGGCCTTTTTTCGTGGTTCATCATAGAAAACTCGAGGATAAGTTTTACTTTGAAGCCTCAACCCTGTCCCTCGTTGCCAGTGTAGTTTCTTGTCCTGGACAAAGGCCACCTGTTGACTTCAGGCTTTTAAGACTGTCAAGTGGTGACGCACAGCCTTCTGCACACAGGTCATACCATGAACACTTAAAGGGAAACTCTCCATTCTTAGAATGTAACATGGAATCCCTTTTCATCTTGCCCCACCTGCCCAATTTAGCTCTCTTTACAAAAAGAATTTGGACTTGGCCAAGAGAAGCAAGGAGATACTGAGCTGAGGAGCCTCTGCTCTGGCAGCGACCACTCTGTCAGGGCAGACAGGAAGCAGGGGTGTATTGGTGTATTGCTGCCCTTGGCATTGACTTTCCCTCCCTCCCACAAAGGCTTGGGTAGGAAAATGAGCTGGCAGCATTAGGAACTGTTGGTACTAGAAAGACGGCTTGCTAGTTAATAACACTAGCTGCTGGTGCAGAGGTCAAGGTGTGAGCGCCCACACGGCTGCTCACAGCATCTGTAACTGTAGTTCCAGAGGACTAATGCCCTCTTCTGGAACCAAGCACTTACATACATGCAAGAAAACACTCAGAAAATAAAATTTCTTTTAAAAATCAAAAGCTGTTGGAACTTGGAGCTGCAAGAAACTGGGTTGTTTCATTAAAAAGAGGCCATCTTTACTGGACAGAGCGCCCTGAGCAATCGCTGGTGCATCCTTCCCTGCTGGATTCAGTGTTCTGAAGGGTTAGTGTAGACATCTCATGGTGTGGGCTGATTCTAGGAGTGTCCTGGGATATGAGGTGACTTTCGAATGTAAAACTGACTGTGCCTTAGCATCACCCTGTCCAGTGCCCCTGGGACAGCTGGTGATGTCCGGGAGAGTGGATCCCTGCTCCAGAATTTAGGTGCCTATTTTGGGCTTTTAATTTGGGGGTGTTCTGTCTTCTGTACAAGTTGGGTGTCAGATCTAGCATCCCAAGAGACTTGGCACAGCTTGTTTGCGATTCACACAAATTCAGCCTTCGCAGCTCCAACTAGAATCTGATTGACATTGCAGTTGCAAGCGTGTGGCACTTCCAGACACTACTCTGAGTCACAGTTGACAAGAGCACCAGGCAAAGCATGGGGGGGGGCTATCTCCCAGGTGGCAAGCTTGGGCCCTCCTTCATTCCTCTCCAGGGTGTAGCAGAGGCATCTTCAAGAAGCTAGAACTATCCAGACAGACTTATTGTAGATGCCAAGTTGGAATTCTGAGGTCAAATATCTTATCCACAAGAGGCAAAAATCTGCTTGTGTCTCAGCCCTGTCCACAGGCCACCTGTCCTCCCTCTACCCTTGAGTCCGCTCTAGCAAGCAAGGCTCCCTGGCTGCCTCCTAGCACACTGAGCGGAGCCATCCCATTAAGGACCGTTTCTACTTGGATCACCACTCTCCCTCTGGACTTCAGATGCCTCTTTAGCAAGAAAAGGCATCGGTTGGGTTGGATATATTTATGTGACTGCGGGCATTTGTGGCTATAGAGTCCTTGATCATAATGTTATATGTAATGGGAACTATCTTATAAACTTGAAAAAAATAAAATTTTTATTTTCTATTCAGTTTTCTCATTTGTCTTTTTAAATACGGTTAGTCCAGTTGCTGAGCTATGCAGGGTCCTAACCAGGGCTTCATTAAGAAAGATGTCAGCCTTTCAATAACTGGGTCATTAATTTCATACACACAAAAAGTGATCTTTTGGTATACGTTGGAAAACAAGGAATTGTTTTTATTTCAATTGTTTCTAGAATGCACTGCTTTTTAAGATGTGGAAATGAAGTAGATTTCATGACCTGTCAAGTATGCTGAGCTTTACTAAAGAGAAGTCAGTCTGTGCCGAGCATAAGCTGCAAACCAGTAAAACAAACTCATACGAACCCTTTAACTGGCCTGATCACAAGTCATAGCAGCCAGTTTTTCTCCAGCCCTTCACACTGGTCGGAGTGGCCGTTACTGTATTACAGTGAAGTGAATAGGATTCGTTTATCATTTTGAGGATCAGAAGCATCAGACCACAGGTGAATTTCCTCAGGAGCGTGACGACATCTCATACCCTGGCTAGTGGTCTGTTAGCTGTTGTCTGTGCCTTGCTCGGTGAAAAACACAGGTCCAAGTGTTGACTGCCCCCCAAATCCCAAGAGCAAACATCTCCATCTCCTCCTAACAAAACACTTCTCGCACAAACCCTCCGTGACATGTAAACTTTTTTCATTTTTCTTTGTTCTTTTTGGTTTTTCAAGACAGGGTTTCTTTGTGTAGCCCTGGCTGTCCTGGGACATGTAAATCTTAAGATTTTTTTTTAAAACACTTTTCTTGTTTAAAAGTTCTTGGTCGGGGGCTGGAGAGATGGCTTAGCAGTTATGTGCACTATCAGCTCTTCCAGAGGACCCAGGTTCAGTTTCCGGCACCCACATAGCAGCTCCTAATTGCCTGTAACTCCAGCTTCAGAGGATTTGAAACCCTCACACAGACATACATGCACATGAAATAAAAGCAAATTATTTTTTAAAAAAAGTTATTGGTCGGGTATGGTGTTCTTGTCTGTTATCCTCAGAAGCAGAGGCAAGATCATACTATTTTACCTCCACACCAGTAAGTGGCTGGCAGAACTATCTTGAGTCCCAGCACTGGAACCAGAACCTTCTCTTCCACCTCTGGCACCTTTGTCCTAGTCCCCGTCTCACCAGACCACAGACTTCCCAGAAGCTTTGGGCTAGCCTAATCTACACGTGGAACCTTGTCTCAAATGACCAGGAACTCCCTCTGTAGACCAGTCTGGCCTCAGACTCACAGAGATCCTCCTGCCTCTGCCTCCCAAATGCTAGGCTTAAAGACATGCGCCACCACCTGGCTTAAGGACACTTTCTAATTAGATGTAATGCCGCTGATGTAATTTTAAATTCTTTCAGAATAAAGAGCTTTGTGTGTGATAGTGTACACCTGTAATCCTAGCAGTTGGGAAGCTGAAGCAGAAGGACGTGTTCAAGGTCATCTCGGTGGGATAGACTGACTAATAATAACAAGGCCAGTGTAATAACTTGCACTTCCTTTTTTCAATTTTTAAAATTTTTTTGAGTGTATGCCTGTATATGCATGTGCAAAGGCCAAAGGAGGATGTTGGATCTCCTGGAGCCAGAGTTACAGGCCGTTGTGTACTACCCAGAGTGAGTTTCGATCACACTAGATCTTGGGTCCCAGCCCTGGAACCAGAACAGAATGCTCCATCTCCCCAGAACCGTCATCCACATCGTAAGATGTGTCACTTCACCTTGCACCCAGCCCCTCAAACTCACCTCCTAGTTCTAAAGATGCTACTCTTCAGGCCCAGTAGCAGAGCTCCTAGGAGAACGCACTGTCTGCCAAAATGTGAGTTCTGCTGCCTGCCAGATGAGCTCACCAGGCTCACCAGCTACTGCATCTTAGGAAGCAAAATGCAGTCACATTGTGGGGTATTTGTACACTGAAGATACACTGCTTGACTGGTTTAATAAAGAGCTGAATGGCCAATAGCTAGATAGGAGGTCTAGGCAGGACTTCCAGGCAGAGAGAGAGGAAACAGGAGATGCATCTAGGTACCTGACGTGCCAACAAGGCATGGAGAGAGTCAGGCATATAGAATGAAAGGTAAAAGGCCACAAGGTTAGTTATAAGAGCTAATGGGACAAACCCAAACTAAAGCCAAGCTTTCATAATAAGTCTCTGTCATTATTTGGGAGCTAACTAGTGGGACAGAGAAAGGCTAGTTACAATTTGCATCCAGCATGGGGCTCGAACCCACAGCCCCAGGATTAAGAGTCCCATGCTCTACCAACTGAAATGGGAAATGTTGCAGGAGAATTGTTGGTATAACCCTTCCACTGTGCCAATAAGGCCACCTCAAATCAAAGGATGGAGTCAGTGATTGGCTACTGGGATTTGCCATAGAGTTCTTCAAGGACTGAAGAGATCTGCTAGAGAGGACAGGAAGAGAAGATTTCCAGGGAGGCAATTTGGGGAAAACGTGGAGAGAGGGTCAGCCAATTGACTCTCCACTGTCCTTGGGTTTATCAGGTCTTTATCTCAATTTCTGCTTCTCGAGTTTTTATTATACTGGAACAATTTAGATATTCATTACAAAGTCATAACTAAGTCAGCCCATATCTCTATTCCAGGAGTTTGTACCAGTTTTAAAGGGTTCTAGACCCCTGCCACCTGTCCGTAATAGAAAGGCTGACAGACTGTATTTAATGGTACATACTGGTTTGGGAAATATTACACGGTTTTAATAATACTGTTAAACACATGCGCACATGTTCTCTTCCTTTCACAGACTGAGGTAGGAGGTAAAATACTCAGCGGGTTGTGCATGGCCTAGACCACAGGTCCATGAGGCACTTGCTTTAAAGGTGGCCCAAGAGCCAGAGTAGAGACTGCTGCATCACAACACTGGAGGGGCTGGCAGGGTCGTCATTGGCCTCTGGTCTTTGAAATCAGTTGTTCAAGTGGGTAAGGAAAGAAGGTAGGGCGGCAGCCAGTTCAAAAGTCAGAATGATGCTCCCGGAAAATAAAGTGCTCTCAACATTTGTTGATTGACGTGAGTGGATGGGGTGGGGGTAGGGAAGACTTCTTGAGAACATCCCCAGAACCCCAGGACCTCCTAGAGCAGGCCAGGGAACCCAGGAGACAGGATACCTCCACCAGTCACCTGAGAGGTAAGAATGGCAACGTGAGGCTTTGGTGACAGCAGCTCATGGTTGGTAAGGAAGAGAAAACAGCTTGTATATGATTGGCCTTTGGCCCTTCCAAGGCCCAGCTCTCCACATCTTCCTCACTGGCTGAGTCAGACCCTACCTCAAAGGGCTCCTTCCACGTCTCCAGCCTCTGCCAGAGAAATCTCCTCTTTGATCTTGGTGAAAAAGTTCTGTGCTAACTGAGTGGCCCGTCTGTTATAAAGCAGCTTAGGCTGCTTCCTAGGAAGGAGACTTAGGGCCCCATCCACGCGGTCGGGCTCCCAGTTGCAGCTAGGGTGCAGCCAGAGGTAGTAGATCAGACGCAAAGCCAGTCCCAGGAGGAAGCAGGCTCCTCCTATCATCAACCACATTGGCAAGAAGGTCCCGCTGGGCAGCAGGCTGCTGTGCGTCACCCAGGTGCTGACCAGCAGAATACTGTCACTGAGGATGAATAACAAGTGGATGACGGAACGGCCTCGGGTGCGGCCCCCAGCCACATTGAACCAGGAGAAATAAAGGATGATTGCCACCGTCACCCGGTACAGCCACTCAAAGTTGGGGTTTGGCATAAATTGTGTGCCTTGAAGCCAGACCCAGAACAACAGCACCAGCCACAAACTGAAGAAATGCAGGGCCAGATATTGGGGGAAGAGAGCTGAGAACAGGGCGACAGCGAAGATTCGGGGACACAGCAGCAGCAGGTTCCACAGGAAGTAGAAGGCAGAGGAGCTCCAGCCCAGGCGAGACTTAGAGGGAAGGCAAGTACGCAGGGATCGGTGGTAGTCCACAAGTGCCCACGAGATGCCCAGGAAGGATGAGCCGATGCCAAACCCTACCAAGAACAAGAAGAAACAAGTCAGCCTTGAGTGCAGCCTGCCTGGCAACCCCAAGGCTCACAGGAACTCTGGCAGAAACCCTGAAGTTGGTCCTAGAAGCCCCAAGTTATTCAGGAGACAGTTGGCGTTCCAACCGAAGAGAGAGGACTGCTTTCAAATGCTACCCTGGTAGCATAAGGATGGGAGACTCCACTTGGTATTTGGCACTCCTGTGCCTTCACCCTAAGCCTCATCTAGGTTCCAGCCCCCCCCCACGCCCCTTTCTCCGTGTCAGAAGTAGACAGATCTCATGGAGTAGCAATAGGCCTTCTGCAGCTGTCCTCAGGACTGGGAGCAATGGCCTACCTTCCCACCATTCCTTACTCTCCACCAGGTACAGCTTGGCCTGTTATCCTGACTTTCCAAGATCTAGTTTAGGATAGGGGTCCTATCCCACCTCCGACATGCCTACCCTGGACTGGAAGCAGCATGGCCTCCAAGGAGGGAGTGGCACAGGCATGCCCTGTGCGTCCTCACGCAACAGAAGTTTACTGAGAGCCTCCTGTGTGTCCAGAACTCACCTGTTACCTGGTATCAAATCTGTAGCTAGTCCCATCTCTTGCCTACCCAGGCTACTCACCCTGCAAATCCCAGCTTGAATAACTTCTGGGGTTGCCCTTCTAGACCCCATTTTGCAGCCAGAGGTCCCTGTAATATTCCACCCACCCCATTAACATAGCAATGGCCTGTTTTGTTTTCGAGACAAAGAGTTTCTCTGTGTAGTACTAGTTATCCTAGAACTCACTCTGTAGACCAGGCTGGCCTGGGATTCAGAGATCCGCCTGCGTCTGCCTCCTGAGTGCTGGCATTAAAGGCGTGTGCCACCACCGCCCAGCCTGTTTTCTATCTTTGAGCTCCTGGAAGGTAGAAAGCTGATTTGGTTCATTTGGGTTCCCCTGGTGGCCCAGTACATGGTACATAATAAATGTTTGCTCAATCAAAAGTTGAGAAAAGCCTCTCTCCTCATGCTCAACCTACAGTGTAAACCATCTATCTCCGCCTGGCTCTGACCTCAAGGAAATGCCAAGTACCTACCAAGTGCTGAAAAGGAACACCTGTCGGCAGGCACCTCTCTTAAGCGAGGGGTTCTCCCAGGTGCCATGGGAGTGATGACGGCTTCCTCGGGGAGCTGCTGCGGAGGACCTTGAGGTATGCATGGATGGGGAACAGAAGGGGGAGCCCTGGGCTCTCAATCCGGTGTGAGGTAGAGCATTGCTTGGTCTTGAAGCAGTCTCTCCCAAGGCTCCTCACTTTCCAGATGTCTCTGAGGGTTTCTGGGGCCTTGTGAGTCTCTGCCACCTGACTCTTGCGGTCACTCAGTACACCTAGTGTAACTATTTGTTTTACAGGCTGGGTGGAGGCTCTGTGTATCTTGTTCACTGCTGTGTCCCCACCTCAGTGACAGACAAAGAACCAACTTAAGTGTCTGAAGGTTCTCTGTGGGGAGCAGGTGAGGTCCTGAGTGGACCATGTCACATACCCCCATGCCTCAGGCCCATGGGAACAGCAAAGAGCCCAGTCTCAGAACACACATTAAAAAGCAGCTGGCCTTTAGCTAGAATCAGTGTGCACCGAAACTTCAGGTGCGCTGTGCCGCTGCTTCAGAGTCCGAGGCCCACCCGAGCTCAGCGTTTTTAGGTGCCTGTTTCTTTATTCCGGTTGCCAGTTAGGTCACTCCTTAACCCATGCAGGTTGAAGTAGTGCTCAATAAAATGTCCATTACCTAACAAACCTATCATTATGTGTCAGGTAACCTATATATTTTATTTATTATCATCAAAGTAATAAAAAGTACATCACTGGGCAGGCAAAAGCAGGGGAATTCTGTGAGTTTGAGGCCAGCCTGGTCTATATAGTGAGAGCCTGTCTCAAAAATAAAAGATGGAGAGCAATTGCAAAATACACCTGACACTGACCTCTGCTTTCTGCATATACACACATGCACCTGCAAACACACACAAACATATGCACACATTTGATGTGCGAGGCCCTGGGCTCTATATCCATCCCCCACATTTAATCTGCTCATTACTCCACAAGGTAGTTTCATTTGTTATGCCCGATGCTCAGATGAGGATAAACTGATAGTCTGAGTCACTTTTCTAACTCCATGCAGCTTGAATGACTTTAGATCGGAATCTACTATCTAAGGCTCCGTCTCCCTGCTTTCCTTCTGTCCACTAAGAGTGAGGACACTGCTAACACTGAGGGGCACCAAAGGGGTTCTCGCTGGCCCAGCACTCACACTGGTAGTATTCAGCTTGACCACTCTTCAGCACGATAGCCAGCACCAATGTGAGCTGTGGTGTCGCCTCCAAGAAACTCTCAAAGAGCCGCAGCATGCTGATATCCAGGGTCAGGAACTCTGTATAGGCTATGTCACTCTCGGTTGGCAGCTCCTGCTGCAACAAGGACAGCCCCTGCTGCAGCCCGTGCAGGCACCTAGGCAGAACACACACATAGATGCCCAGCGGGTCAGGTCAGTGTTCTGGAAGTCCCTCCATTTCCGACCACTGAGTGCATGGAGGTGGGCTTCAATCCTAGCTTGTCACTTAACTGCTATGGAACCTCAGGCAAGCCACCTAACCTCACAGAACCTGTTTCCTCATCCTTTAAGTTGGGGACATACAACTGCCATGCTTGCTGGTCAGGCGTGGTCCCGAGTTTAACCCAATTCACCAAGGCCCTGTCTTAGAGATGGGAAATGGAATTGAAAAGCAAGCAAGGGGCCTGCGATGGCGTTGCACGAGGTGGTGCACCTCTAACTCCAGCTCCAGGGGATCGGATGCCCTCTCTGGCCTGTCCTTCACACCCATCCGGGCTGTACTTGTACTCCCTCGGGCAAATCGCGAACATTCAAAGCCCCCACCCCACTGCTGGAAGCCGACTGCAGCTTTGCAAAGATCTGAGGGGAATTAATTCCACAACAGATTCTGCATCCAGTCACCCCACCCAACCCACACCACACTATGAAGTCCTGCCTTCCATGGCGTGACCCTGACTCCTGGACTTTACTTTCTCCCATCTCACCCAAGGGCTTATTCATGATTTCAAAAAAAGTCACGGGCTGGAGAGATGGCTCAGCAGTTAAGAGCATTGCCTGCTCTTCCAAAGGTCCTGAGTTCAATTCCCACCAACCACATGGTGGCCCACAACCATCTGTAATGAGGTCTGGTGCCCTCTTCTGGCCTGCAGGCATACACACAGACAGAATATTGTATACATAATAAATAAATAAATAAATTTTTTTTAAAAAAAAGTCACCAGGCCAGCACTGTGCCAGGAACTGTCCTCACTTATCACTTCTGGCTGAGCCTGGGAAAAAAACCACACAGTCCACACATATTTTCTGTGTCCAGCCCTGGCTTGCTCCAGGGACACAATGAGGCAGGACCCATCTCTGCCTTCTTCATTCCCTGATGGGGAGGCAAATGTTCACAGAAAAGGACAAAATTAAGAAAGAAGGGAAAGGGGGCACTGTCCTGGAAGTTGGAGCTGCTACCCAGGAAAGGCACGAATTGTGCCAGGACAATTTATGGACATGTGCCTTTATTCTGCTCAGAACACCAGTAGTAACTATTGCCAACCCAGCTAGACACCGAGTAAACTGAGACCAGTGAGGTCAGTGATCACTCAAGGGCCTAGTCACAATAAAAATAAAAAAAAGTCACACAAGGTGGTCCACGTCTTTAAAGGCAGGTAGATCTGAGTTTGAAGCCAGCCTGGTCTACAACGCGAGTTCCAGGACAACCAGAGCTACGCAGGGCAACCCTGCCTCGAAAATAAATAAATAAACAAACTAAATTAAAATTAAACTAATAAAAATTAAGAAACACTCTTCTCTTTGGGCCCACATTATTGCAGAGACTTTCTCAGTAGACTTGGCTCTGACGGCTGTCAACCCACGTTCCTCTCCTCGACGGGCCAGGGCACTCACCTGTACAGATAGCCGAGCTGCAGCACATGCAGCAGCGTCAGGAAACGACGCGAGGGCAGCGACTTGTGCAACTCGATGGGGTCGGTGGTCAGCCAGACCCAGCTGAAGAGCTGCAGCAGCACAGAGGGGAGGCACAGCAACACCACTACCAGCGCGGCCCACAGGTAACGGCCACCGAGCACGTACTGGACGACGGCCCACAGGTCGGCGGCCACGTCCAGCAGGAAAGACAGGGTGCCCACCACGCCCACGACCACGTCCAAGAACAGAGGGGAGGGCAGCGAGACAGACATGGCCCTCAAGCTAGCCTGCAACCGCTGGCCTGACTTCCAGCCCCGTGTCGTCCGGCAGGAAGGGGGCGGGGCAGTCGGGAGGCGGGGCCGAGGGGCGGGACTTCCCCCTCTCGCCCTGCCCGGGGAGGAGCGAGACGCCCAGACCCCGCCCCCAGCCCACCCTGTCCTGAGCCCGGCTTCTGCTGACTTAGATTTTGCGTTTGCCGTTCAAGGAGGCGGGAATGACCGCAAGATTAGAGCCTAGAGCCCCGACCACAGCTGCTATCCCTCACGGTTGCACTGTTGCGAAACCAAACCAGAAAACTTTTTAAAAAGTACCTAGGGGTTCTGCAGACCACGTGGGCACCCAGCGCAGCCCTTGATCAGGGACTATGTCTAGAGCACAGGATCTTCAGGTTCCTGGTGACTCATTTTACTGCAGCCATCAAATGCATGGAAGTTGATACATATGTATTAAAGGAAGTAACGCACAAAGACACGTACCACGAGCATGTTTTGTGGATAAAATGTGAAAATTGAGTGAAACGTGGTTCTTTGGGACCTCTCCGGTGAATCCAAATGTCCCATTCTAGTTTACTCTCCGCGGACAGGAGAGACGTTCATCCCTCCGTGGGGTGACGCTGCCCAATTTTACCGGGAGAAAGGTGAACCCAGTAAGAGGGTAGCTTGGCAGTGCCTACAGACAAGGCACCACCAATATGGACAGGCTTGGCAGCAGAGTCAGCATGAGCAGGAAACTGGGCACCAGCTTCGAGCCAAGGCCATGCAAGCAGGTAGCATAAGTGTTGAATGCCACCTGCTGCATGGCACACACATGCTCGGCGCGGCAGATGTCCCCGCAGGTCGAATGGTCATAGCTGACGGAGTTATAGATGTAATAACGTTGCAGCATGTGCTGGTCACTGGCGATGCGCGTCAGAGCCGTATGCATGGAGTCGGTGCCTGCATCCTGCACCTGGTAGGCCTCTGTCAGGCGGTATTCCAGCTCCCAGCGTGGGGTCCCTTGTGTATTCGCCTGACTCAGGTTCAAGAAGTAGGTCACCATGTCCTGGATTAGAGACACAGGGTATGTCAGTAATGACTAGTTGTTCCCTCCTACCCACAACCCAGCCTGTCCCCAGGCTCTTCAGAGCCATCATACCAGCCGCTGTTTGTTACTGAGCTCTCAGCCAGGTGTGCCCGGCAGACCTGTGCTTGGTTCTGTGAGGTAATTACACCTACACCCCTATTCTGAAGAGGTTGTTATGGTTTGAACCAGAAGCATACACCACAGGCTCATTTTGAATGTTTGTTCTCCAACTGGAAGTGCTATTGTAGGTAGCTGTAGAATTTTAGGAAGTAGAGTCTAGACGGCAGAAGCATGCCTTTGAATCTGGGTCTGGAGCCACCTCTGCTTCCCGCTCAGTGGCAATGAGGAGTCCCTGATTCAAGCCACAGGCCTTCCCTCCCAGGATGGAGTAAAGCACTCTGAAACCATGACGTTGTATAGCGAGCACAGTCTTGCAAAAGCAACTTTTTCTCAGCGCATACAAGTGTTCAGTGGCAGGGGTGGGATTAGAGCCCAGATTGCTTACCTCCCTATGCCTATGTTTCCTGTCCTGCCAAACTGGCAGGCACAGATCCTCACAGAAGCTCTGATGCTCAGCAAATCTTTACAGAATGAAGGGGAGCAGCCATGGTGGCGGCAGCAGGTGGGGTGTGCCTGGCTGACAGAGGTTAGAGACCTGCGGTTGATAGGGATTTCACATCTCTCTAGGACTCGGCAGTGCCTTCAGAACCGGAACACACTTCCCCGTGAAATGTCTGGTTATTACAGACAGGTAATGGGCAGGAACTGAGTATGCCAGGTACGTGACGTTATTACACTAAGTCCTCTCTGAACTGTGACTGCCACTGTACAGAGAAAGCAATGGAGTGGCCATGCGGACAACAGGAATCCTCGGGCCTAGGGCCAACGAAATGGATCCTCAGAATCCACATGGAGAAAAGCAAGAATTAACTCTGGTAAGTCTCTCTCTCTCACACACACACACACACACACACACACACACACACACACATAAATTTTTTTTCAGTTCTTAGAACAGAGCAGGGGAGATGGCTTAGTGCTTAAGTGTTTTTTAAATTTTATTTTAGTTTTAATTTTGAGAGGTAAACACTGGGCAGTGGTGTAGAGCATATACACATGCATGCAGGTACCCACAGAGGCCAGAGGACAGTATCAGAGTCTCTGAGACTGGAGCAAGAGGCAGTTGTGAGCTGGCTGATGTGGGTGCCGGGAGCCAAACTCGAGCACATACTGTTAACCACTGAGCCATCCCTCCAACTCCCAAGGCCACTTTCTGCACAACTATGAGGAATTGAGTTTGTATCTTAGTGCACATGTGTGCACACACACACTTAACAGGTCAGGGTATAGAGGCTCACAGCTATAATCCCTGCACTCAGAAGAAGACTGAGGCAGAAAGATTGTATCAGGGCTGGAGAGGTGGCTCAGGAGTTAAGAGCAGGGACTGCTCTTCCAGAGGACTGGGGTTCAATTCCCAGTACTCACAGCAGCTCACAACTGTTTGTAATTCCAGTTCCAGGGAATCTGACAGCCTCGCACAGACAGACATGCAGGAAAAACACCAAAGCACATCAAATAAATGATTATAATAAAAAGAAGAAAGAAAGATTGCATCAAGTATCTGTCAGCAAATCCCGGCTCCTCAGCCTCTGAAATGCCTGCAGGATCAGATACTTTTCAGCACCCTGAGCTGGGCCACCACCCTCAGGCAGCTGGTGTTTGGTTGGTTGGTTTTTATTTTGTTTTATGGTTTTTAGAGCTGGGGTTTCTCTATGTATCTCTGGCAGTCCGGGAACTCACTCTGTAGACCAGGCTGGCCTCGAACTCACAGAGATTTGTCGGCCTCTGCCTCCCAAGTGCTGGCATTAAAGGTGTGCGCCACCACCGCCCTCTGGCAGCTGGTGTTTTTACTTCCTTATTGTGCCTGTGTCTTGGTCACAGCAGTCTGCTCTTTGTCCAGCAGACAGAGTGATTCTGGAAATGGTGAATCAGAGCAGTTCACACTTCTGTCCCCAGCTCTGTAAATCCAGAGTGCTCCCCATAACCTGGATGTGGCCCGGTGCTTTCCACTTTCCCCTTGTGCTCTCAGGGTCACTCTCCATGGTCTTCCCCTAAAACACCAAGTCCCTTTCCACCCCAGGGGGTTTGTTTGCCTTGCTGTTCCCTCCACCTTCTTTACAAACCCAGCCAGCTTCCTCAGTTTACACAGAACTCAAAAGCCTTCTTACTTCCCTTGTCCCATCTCTGTAACACAGTCAGCCCACTCGCTCCAAAATTATCAGCCCCTTTACCCTCCCTCCCATCTCCATCCCTCCCGCCCTCTTTCTTTCTTCAGAGTTGGAAGCCAAGCCTACTGTCTCCTCCACCTTAAGCAAGCACTTTGCCACTGAGCTGTGGCCATTCTCCCCTTCCCTACCCCCCTTTGGAGACAGGGTCTTCTTGCTATGTTATTGTCTGGTCTTGAACTCACTATGTAGTCCAGGCTGGCTTTAAATTTCAGTCCTATGCCCCAGCCTCCCAAGTGCCTGAGATTACAGTCCTGTGCCAGCAGACCCAGCTACCGCCCTGCCTTTCCTGCCACCCATGTTTAATTGTATTTATTTGTTTACTGTGGTCCTCCTGTAGGGATTTTGGCGAAGGAGAGCAGTTACTCTGTTGTTGTGTTTGTATCCCAAGCTTTGAGCAGGGCCTGGCATGCGGCAGGTGTTTAGAACATTTTGCTAAACGAATGAAGTAGTATTTCTTTGTCAATTCAACAATTCCAGCACATCTTAGAAGGGAAAGAAGTACTCATGGGGCTGGAGAGATGGCTCAGTGGTTAAGAGCATTGCCTGCTCTTCCAAAGGTCCTGAGTTCAATTCCCAGCAACCACATGGTGGCTCACAGCCATCTTTAAAGAGGTCTGGTGCCCTCTTCTGGCCTGCAGACATGCACACAGACAGAATATTATATACACAATAAATAAATAAATATTTAAAAAAAAAAAAAAGAAGTACTCATGGTGTTAGGGGCTGGGTCCTAGTTGGTGTAAGGTCAGGGGCAATGGGCTTGAGCCCAGACTGTGGAAAGTCTTCCATACCAGCCTAAAGAAAGGCTATTTTAACTTAAGATCTGTAAGTAGCAGAGAGGCAATATGAAGTCAGTACTTTAGGAAGACGAATACCTCCCGAGTGTGGCAGGAGGTAGGGGGGACAGTGATGCGGTACAAAGACTTGGGGGAAGAACTGACCTGAGTAGGTGGCTCCAAAGTTTAACCAGCGTTCCCTTCCAAGGTTCAGCGGTTAGTAGGTAGCAGAAGGGTTAGCTAAGGGTTAGGAAAGGCAGTGACACACTCAGGTGCCCACCCCTGGCCCCAGCAGACCCACGCTCCTAACCTGCAGCTTCAGTGTGACTCGATCATACTCAAAAACACGGATGCCCGGATTGTTGGCTCCGTTGACCACTCCAGGTAATGTGGTCTTCCACGGCGTGACCCCAGGCGTGAGGAACATGACGCTTATGGGGGCACCTTCGGGGAAAAAGACAACAGGCTGAAAGGGACTCTGGGAAGAGGAAGGTGGCAAGGGGCCACTTCCCTCGAGACGGGGTGAGTACCTGCATCATCATAGAACATTCGGAAGCTGTCGGTATGGTGGTGCCCAAAGAACTGCCCCGCTATGACACGGTGGTGCTTCTGGACCACCCTCAGGTACTCCTCGTTGAAGATCTCTCGGAACCAGGCCTTGTCCTGGGTCTTCTCGAAGAACCCTGGGGGCACGTGGCCAATAATGTAGACCTGCAAGGAAGAGATACTGGGATCAGAGATGCTCTCTCCGTTCCACCTTCGGGAACCCGCCCATGTCCTCGAGGGCAGGTGGACCTCCCTCTGAATGGAACCCCAAAGCACCTCTTCCACAAACCCTTCCTGGTCCTTCGATGGGTGCTCTTGTCATCTCAGAACTGGGGGTGAGCCTCCCTGGCTGTGTGAGAACACTATGTGGTCACGTGCATTTGTGTTTGATGTTCCCCAAGTCACCTGGGCACTTGATCACCAGTACAGAAATGCAGAATGAAGTAGAATTCAGAACATGTCCTTAGTTAGGAGTGGTGGCATGTGCCTTTAATCTAACC